AAGTTTTGGACATGCTTCGAGCGAGGAGGGAGAAATTACTCTGCCAATTAAGCCAGCCACTGAGGTGCCAAAAAAAAAAAAAATCTGAGTGGAAGAAGGATTAACATCTAAGTTGGTATGTTGGAACCGAATGGAAAGGGGGGGTAAGCCTCTCCTACTATTGTACTTTGCTTCATTATAATATTCGGCAACCCCCCCCCCCCCGAAGAACCGTTTATATTATCTATAGCAAGCGAGACTGGAAAGTTTTGTATTTGTTGATATAAATATGGCTCTAAAACCTATAAACTGTGTGGAAATAATAATATTATATATTTAAGGTTTTTGATCTTTGATTTGCTTTGAAGAGGATAAAAATTCCCCAATTTGTTGATATTAGACAGAAGCAGGATCTCATTAGCCGTGGGGGAGGTGTTAAAAAACTTTGAACGGTTCCCTAGAATTGTGTGGGAGCTGTGTCGCATTTTTAATTTGGAAATCTGCAATGATGGAAGTCAAGACCGAGCTGCAGAATTATAAATAGCCATAGGGGGAGGTGAGCTTTTAATATGACATTATATTTGTATTTCCAGTTTGATTTGGTAAACCTCCCCTGGAAAGGCTAATGTTTGATGCAACCGGTCTGGAAAATTAATGAACAGACGCCTAGACTTGATTTCATCGGAACTGAGTGAAGATGGCGGCTGCCAGCAGCAAAAAGACTTTTGGATTGATTCAGCAGAAACACCAGAGTGTGAGGAGATGCTGCAAACTTATAGAGGGGAATCATAGACATAAAATCCACACAGAAATACATCACTGTTTGTTTCAGCTCGCTTGTGGGAACAACTCAGAGGCCGTGAAAGAAGGAAGGTTAACAACAGGAAGAATTAGAGGAACCATCGGAAATGACTATGAAAAGCAGTAAATATATGAGGTGATCAGAACCCTCTGAACTTGTCCCATTAAAAAAATTATAATTTGGCAGAATATTTGGATTATTTGATATGTATATGTATAATTTGGAATATTTAATGTGATTTGATTGGATTGTTAAAGTGGAAAATTTAATAAAAATGAATTTTTAAAAAAAGATAAGAAGAGGCAACCTGGGACTCTAATGATCCTGCGGACCTTATGGAGCATGGACTACCGTTCAGCCTGCATCATTCTGATTTTCCTATAGTAATTACCTCTAGGCACCCCTTAGGGTACTTTCCAGACTCTCCCTATAATGGGGTGGGAGCAGGGGTGCCAACTTGAATAAAATATTGTGGGGGCCCAGGTAAGCCCCGCCCCACATAATTGATCACGTGATGCAGTGCACACACATCATTTGAATGGGAATACCTATTAACTATGTGGGGGCCTGGCCCCCTCAAATATTTTATTGTGGGGGCCGAAACCTCCATATCCCCTAAGAGTTGGCTCCTATGGGTGGGAGTCAATCACATACTGGTAAACTTAAGTTGTACAGTTAAAGTTTACGGGTAGGTCTTGTGCAGCAAATTCAATTCCCCCATATGTCAGGAGTGCTCTGATGGTGTTTCCTGCTTGGCAGGGGGTTGGACTCGATGGCCCTTGTGGTCTATTCCAACTCTATGATTCTATGATTCTAATATTTGCCTTTTTGAAATAAAGGAAATCATCTGGGAAATGCAGTGGAAAGTGTGACAAAACACTCTGATGCAGCATTGTCCAGCTGCTTGGGGGTGGGGATCAGGATGAATAAACAGAAGCACCCTGAGTCAAAACTACAAGCAAACACAGCAGTTATGTAAAACAGCAATTAAAGTAAAAAGAAGTTATGCTAAGTCTGATTTTAGAAATCTCCAGGTATGCCTACTGGTACTGTGGCTCAGGCACAACTGAGAACAAAACAAGTGATGTGATTTTAACCAGGTTTTGTTTTTCAAAGTCACATCAACCTGTGATGCACTTCCACACATAGATAATTTTGCTGTGATATTACTCCAAAGGCTGAAGGCAAAACAGATTGTGAAAATTAAGGCAATTCCAGCATCAGAACCATCCATTCATATAGAGAGATGGCTCTGTTGGGCACATACTGGCCTGAGCCATCTCTGCCTTCTCCATCATGTGTCTAAACTCTCCTTTCCAATTCCTGTGACCTGGGATGACTTTGTTATAGCCACTCTTTTCAAATTAGCTTTTAAAAGTAAGCTGTAATTGCAATTGCTTGCATGTCTAGAGAACACACTAAGATTATGTCTCTATTGTGGTATTTGAGGTACCCAAAACCTGTTATACAGGTATTATCAGATGAATCTGAAGCAGGTAATTCTTCTAATTTTGAAGCATGCAGAAGTCAAACTCAGATTGGTACATCATCTTCCACACACTCAGTTCTTTGGCCTTGTGATCTGAATGATTAACAAACCCTACTTCTCTAGTTTCATGTAGAATTTGCCAACTGCCCACTCTCCGAACGTACACCTATTTGTTCTTATGTCCTCCTCACTTTAGTAGCTCCTAGTCAGCCAGGACGTAGGTGTGTTTCAGTTAATTACATAGCATGTTCTCCCTGAAGGAGAGCATGTGTTGCTGTGGGGTCCGCTGAGTCACCCCTCTGTTGCCAGGCTGGGTGGCCCAAACTGACCCCTGGCAATTGATTGGTTGGCTGGATTGCCGGGGAAATTTACTTGTTGCAATTTTGGTGTAAGGGATCGAACCTTTTAAATTCTGGGCACGCAGCTTGGTGCTTTCTCTTTCGCCGTGTGAACCGGATCACCCGTGCACCCGCCCTGTGTCTCGAGGGTTTTGCTTTGACCTTGCCATGCCTGTCATGGGGTCGTCTGCCGTTGGGGCAGGGGCCTGGTAGGAATTTTGTCCATCTGGCCGATTGGCTGGGCCATTTGGTTTTTGCCTACTGCGTAGCAAATCGTCACAACTTGTAAGGTTGCGGTTAGGCATTGGTTATCAAATTGGTTGGAGGAGGGGTAAGGATTGGCTGGGCCTGGCCCTCCAATGCTGCTGTGGAAGGGAATTCTGTTAAAGGAATCCAGGGGCTTGCCACGATTTCGTCCGAATCCCTGGAATGGGGCTAGCCCCGGGAAGCATGCGGGTGAGTGCTGAGGGCCTGTGACTCAGCTCCATTGCTCCCCAATATTGTTTTCCCTTACTGGCTTCCGAGGGAGTTCGGAGGTCAGTTCTGTCCCCAGGCGGAGGGGGGGGCAGATATTCTTAACCAACGCCTAAGCAACCACTCACAGATATGTATTTTAATAAAGTTGTGGCCAAAATTATGCCAAAAACCTTAAACAAAAATCATGTGTGAGTTGTGAGTTATTTGAGGAGTGGCTTGGGGACCTCAACACGCAACTATTTTTGCCAGTAATGCATATTATCCTGCTAGAATTTCTGTAACATAAAATACAGAATAGAACAGGAACAAAAATCTTCAAAACTCAATCAATTTGTTTCAACAATACATTCTTCTATGACAAAACCATCGCCTCTTATCTAGTGGAGATTCCTTCCAGCGGAAGTGGGAAAGGCCATTCTTCCCAGTCTAACCTTCCCTTTGCATCCTTTGATACCACCAGCTATACTGGAAGGATCTCCAACCTACAGGGATGGGGGGGGGAGGCTATAGGGAAAGGGGGGATATCACTTCTCCCACCATGCCCACTGCCCAGAACTTACAATGGGTTCTGAACAATATATTTTAGAAGACTCCGAGGGCCTTCTGGCGGTTCCCTCACTGTGAGAAATGAGGTTACAGGGAACCAGGCAGAGGGCCTTCTCAGTAGTGGCCCCCGCCCTGTGGAACACCCTCCCATCAGAAGTCAAGGAAATAAACAACTATCTGACTTTTAGAAGACATCTGAAGGCAACCCTGTTTAGAGAAGTTTTTAATGTTTGCTGTTTTGTTGTGTTTTTAATATTCTGTTGGGAGCCACCCAGAATAGCTGGGGGAACCCAGCCGAATGGGAAGGGTATAAATAATAAATTATTATTATAAGACTGGAATTAAGAGATTCCCTCCTCCTGCCTGGCACATGCATACAGATACTTTGACACAGAAAGATGACCATCCAGCAAGGGAGATCCATGCATAGAGCCTGGGGAGGTGTGCATTTATAGCATCGGGTGGCGCTGTGGGTAAAACCACAGAGCCTAGGACTTGCTGATCAGAAGGTCAGCGGTTCGAATCCCCATGACGGGGTGAGCTCCCGTTGCTCAGTCCCTGCTCCTGCCAACCTAGTAGTTCAAAAGCACGTCAAAGTGCAAGTAGATAAATAGGTACCGCTCCAGCGGGAAGGTAAATGGCGTTTCCATGCACTGCTCTGGTTCGCCAGAAGCGGCTTAGTCATGCTGGCCACATGACCCGGAAGCTGTACGCTGGCTCCCTCGGCCAATCAAGCGAGATGAGCGCCGCAATGCCAGAGTCGTCCGCGACTGGACCTAATGGTCAGGGGGCCCTTTACCTTTACCTTTTTACGTGACTAACAGTGCTCATCCTTCCAGACCCTGCTGCTCAGAGCCAGTATGGCATAGTGGTTAGAGAGTTAGAATAGGATCTAGGGTTCAAATCCTCACTCCACCATGAAGTTCACCGGGGAGCCTTGAACCACTTGCCAACTCTCAGTCTAGCTTACCTCACAGGATTGTAAGGGTGATATGGAGATGGAGAGAGCCACCTTGAGTTTCTTGGAGGAAAGGTGGCATATAAGAGACATGCAATAATAAACAAATATAATTAAATAAAAAGGACAGCTCTTGAGGACATAGTTTCAGCCAGTTTAACCCGGGAGAGAGGACATTCATTTCTGATCCAAATTGTATTTCTAAAGAAAACTGGAGGGTGGAGGGAGATGCAATAGCGTAGTTTAGAAGGAAAAGGAACACCTGTTCTTAGCAACTTCATTGCACCAGCTCTAGCACATTTAAAGACACTTCACGCTGACTCTTGTTCCGCATAGCAACGTAACAACGGAGGTGGGAGGGAATATTTTTTTTGTTTCTGAAACGAGAGGGTGTGTGGCTCTGAATCACTTTTGAAACAGGCGTTTATCCACCTCTGCTGGTTTAAAGCCTGAAAAATGTGTGTGAATATTTACAGTCTTATCCCTGGCTCCATCGAGAACATTTAGCCTGCACAAACTTGCACGGAAAACAATAATGGAAGCATGTGGAAGTTTATCACATCTGGTAAGCGTCATGGGTATTCCGGTTCAGATAGGCGGAGCAAAAAGCAGATTGTGTATGTTCTTTTCTTTCATTATAAAATTGTGATGCATTTGTTGCTGTTTGTTAGCATATACACACTACAAAATGACATTGGTTTTGTACCAATTAACTAGGGAATGACAGCAGGAGAAACTTGTTGTGCTCACATTCTCCTGCATGGTGTTCTATAGTCATGTTTCATTATGGGATGCTTTGGTCTGATTCAGCAGGGCTCTTCTTATGGCTGAGGATTCTGTTCCATGAGTCTTTCCCTGCCCCCCAGATTACAGTTTGCAATATTCCTTGGGGGACAGAAAATGGTTGTTCAACCAATTCATGCTTTAAGTCTCAAGGTATTTCACAGTGAAGAGGCTTGTTTTTATTTTGGTTCTTTTGTCTTTGTTCTTTTTAGTTTTTATTGTATTTTCTTTGAATAGTGGGGCAGCTGCTCAGCTCAATCAGGAGAACACGAGACTCTTAATCTCAGGTTTGTGGGTTTGAGCCCTTTGATAGGCAAATAGATTATTGTATTGCAGGGGGTTGGAGTAGATGACCCTTGTGGTCCCTTCCAAATGTTTGATTCTGCGATTTTGTTATCTTTAAAGTCATTATCAGTCTAGGCATTGTGTGTGGGATACAAATTATAAATAAATTAGGATAGTGGGGGGGATGGGTTTCCCCCCCCTCTTGGATAGAAAGGATGTAAAGTATTGGCTTTGAGTGTGGCATTTAAACTGCTAAATGGTCTGAGCCTAGGGTGCCAGAAGCAGGATATCCTCTGTTTAGACCATTCTAGCTTTGAGATCTTTTTTCTAGATGACATCAAAAACAAGAAAAAATCAGAGGCTGTTTTCTAGAACATTTTAGAAGAGTGGGGAGGAGAAAGACTTACATACGCAACATACATTTAAAGCACTCCCGCAAAAGGGGAAAAAAAAGAATCCTGTGAACTTAAGTTTGTTAAGAGTGCTAGAAACTGTAGCTCTGTGAGGGGTAAATTCCCCCCCCCCAAATTTTGTAGCAGTTGTGCGTGTGCTTTAAATATATGGAGCATACACAGTTAAAATACGTATTTTTAGAGGGACTTAGTTGTGACTATTAACTAAGAGTATTTCACAGATGCTGTGACTTGGCTGCATTTTTACATTTTGTTTGTTAATTTCCCTTGGTGGTTTGTCGGCAATAAACTTTTTTTATCATTCTTAAAATTATAATTGAAGTAGGGTTGCCATATTTTGAAGAGCAAAAAAGGGGAAACACTGCATTCTCTCCCTGCCCCCCGAAAGTGCACATTACCACATGCTTGTTTTCCAGAAACATGGAAACCAATGGGATTTTCTGAATAAACTTGCTGATGCCTCTGCTGCAAAGTTATTCTGCATAGTACATTTATTCCTCCCATTATACATATAAGCCTACAAGGAAATTCAAAATGGCCACTACTGAGCCAGCTTGTCTGTCCTTGCAGTCTCTACCTGCTGCCTCAGATTATTCAGCTGCTGACATGTCATCAGTTCCTTCCTGACGGTACAAACTAGGCAGAAACCCACATAATATCTGTGTAAACCTTCTATTTATTTATTTTTAAGTGCGAAGTTTCACATTTGGACGCCATATTTCCCCTTAAGGTTTCCAAAGTAAGCTTTGTCAACATGGCGCTCGTTTTTATTACAGTGCTTGGATCAGCCCGCGAAGCAAAAGGCACTGCAGCGAGACCTGTGAATGGAGGGGGAAGCAAGGTGTAGAAGTCAGCCACCCCCGGCTGCTCCATGTGGCATCCGCCAGGCAGTGGCCTTGCGGGGCCGTGTGTATGTGTATATGCATTGGCTATTGTGTACTGCATTGGCTCCCGGTACGTTTCCGAGCACAATTCAAAGTGTTGGTGCTGACCTTTAAAGCCCTAAACGGCCTCGGTCCTGTATACCTAAAGGAGTGTCTCCACCCCCATTGCTCAGCCCAGACACTGAGATCCAGCGCCGAGGGCCTTCTGGCAGTTCCCTCATTGCAAGAAGTGAGGTTACAGGGAACCAGACAGAGGGCCTTCTCAGTAGTGGCACCCGCCCTGTGGAACGCCCTCCCTTCAGATGTAAAGGAAATAAGCAGCTATCTTATCTTTAAAGGCAGCCCTGTTTAGGGAAGTTTTATTATTTACAGTGGTGCCTCGCAAGACGAAAAGAATCTGTTCCGCGATTCTCTTCGTCTAGCGGTTTTTTCGTCTTGCGAAGCAACCCTATTAGCGGCTAAGCGGATTAGCGCTATTAGCGGTTTAGCGGCTATTAAAGGATTAGCGGCTAAGCTGCTAAAAGGCTATTAGCGGCTTATCGGCTTAGAAAAAGGGGGGAGCGGAAAAAACCTCACAAGACTAGCAAGACGTTTCGTCTTGCGAAGCAAGCCCATAGGGAAAATCGTCTTGTGAAGCAACTCAGAAACGGAAAACCCTTTCATCTAGCGGGTTTTCCGTCTTGCAAGGCATTCGTCTTGCGGGGCACCACTGTAATGCTGTATTGTTTTTAACACTTGATTGGAAGCTGCCCAGAGTGGCTGGGGAAACTCAGCCAGATGGGCGGGGTATAAATAAATTAGTAGTAGTAGTAGTAGTAGTAGTAGTAGTACCCATGTGTTTACACATTGGGGCATGTGAACCTGCTAGCTGCTGCCTCTTCTCTTGTCTTGGGAGGCTGTCGCAGAGCAACAACATTCGTGCGGCTTCTCTTTCCTGTCGCAAGCCCTCAGCCGCACCGCAAGACAGGAGGGTCAGCACTGAAATTCCCTGGCCAAGCCCTCCACGATCCTCCAGAGAGGCAGGCGGGCTGGCAGGCGGGTACTTGATGAAATGGGATCCTGCATATTTAAGAGCCCCTTTGTCTCTGAAACATCCTAAAGTAGTGGCGGATTTGTCCCGCTGGCTCCACATCGTCCAGTGCTGTGTGCAGTGGCGGGTGAGGGGGAAGCGTTGAGGAAGGATGGAATGGGGTGGGGTGAGAGAATGTGGCTCCACATGGTGCTCTTCCCTGAGGTGGGGAAGGAACCTGGCAAGGCAGGGGGGAGTGCACAGGAGGATTAGCATGCGTGCTGAATGGTGCCGTACTGTTACTCACGGTAACAGTAAAAGGGAGGGCTGGGAGGAAGAGGGGGGTGAGGAGTGAGGAGGAAGAACAAGAGTGAGCTCCCTTTGCTCTGATGAACGGAGGATGGCCGGATCCCCAGCGTCTGTTTGCTTCAAAGTTCAAGGAGGCCCTCGCGCTAAAAGGGGCCGGTGCTAACGTTGCTACCTCACAGACTCAGATTGGTTCCCCGCAGCAGCCATGAGTGGGCTGTCTGGCATGATGTTCGGAAGCATGTAGCGTCCTTGTCACAAGGGAGTGCTTGTGTGGGATGGTTAGTTGAGGAAGAGGGAAAGGGGTCATGTTTAATTTGGGTGCTGCCTTTCTCTTTAAGTTAAAAAACCAAAAAACCCTGGCCATTCTGCCAAATTTTAAAAATCCACCTGGACAGAAATTTAAGCTCTGAAAAAGAGGACATGTCTAGGAAAAAACGGACACACGGCAACCCTAATTGATGAAAATATATGAGTGAAACGTAGTGGCAACAATTTCAAACCTAGGACCATTTGTTGTTGCTCTTGCCTTGGTCAAAAATATTTCAAAAACGTTATTTTGAATTATGCCAATGGGAACAAATAACAAAGATCTGTTGAGTAAAATTACACTATTATTTGCCTTTGCCACTTCTGCGTCTTACTCTAAATGCTAGCAATTTTATAATTATTTCATAATTGAGGCACTAGTTGTTCCTAAGTGCAACAAGTGGATACACTTACTTCTGAGCAGGTACTTGGAGCTTATCCACTCTTACCTTTCCTTGAGGCTTCCCAGTCCACGCTTTAAAGCTCCCTATTTGAGAACCCTTTTTAGTGCTGAATCAAAGTAATCCCAGAAAACCCAAATTGCCATTTGTTGCATGGGTTTTTGCAGTAAATGCTCTGGGGCAAAGAAAAGAGCTTTACAGCACAGACCTGTGCCAGAAAAGCATAGGGCAAAAGGTAGGTATGGATAAGCCCTCAGACTACTGTCACCTCAATCCTATTCTGCGCTATTCTGTGCATTACAATCTAGGGGAAGGAAAATTACTTACATGTAATCCCCAGTTGTATAGGAAAATTTGCTCTCATGAGCAGGGCTCTCGTCTCCTAGGGGTGAGATTTCTACAGCCTAGCGCAGGGGTAGCTTGCATCATGATCTCCAGCTGTTCTTGGATTCAAACACCCAGCATGGCCAATGAATGATGGGAATTATAGTCCAACAACTTCAGAAGGGAACCATGTTGGGTGCAATAGCTGCCTTCAAATATCTGAAAAGGTGTCAGCCACTAAGTAGGTGGAGTGAGATTTGTCTTCTATTGCTTCAGGGCAGGACTAGAAAGATCGGTCAGGTATTGCAAGGAAGTCAATTTCAGCTTAACATTACAAGAGGCTTCCTAGCAGTAAAAGCTGTCCAGCAGTGGAACAGACTGGGGACATGGCTAGAAGGTGGAGGGGATCCTATATTGAGAGGATTGGCCTGGATGACTTCCAGGGTCCCCTCAACTCTATGATTCACCCCCAGAGTTGTAGACAAAACTATGCCCAGACCATTCACTGTTCAAGATAACTCACATCCGATGCCCCAATTCCTTGCATTGGTGTACATACCTGCTCTCAGAATACAGAGGATGAGACCATTAATGTTTATACCATTGAATTCTAAAATTAGCCAGAAATGGGGCAGTTGTATGCCTCCCCCAATAGCCATTAAAGGTAAAGGTAAAGGGACCCCTGACCATTAGGTCCAGTCGTGACCGACTCTGGGGTTGTGGCACTCATCTTACTTTATCAGCCGAGGGAGCCGGCGTACAACTTCCGGGTCATGTGGCCAGCATGACTAAGCCGCTTCTGGCGAACCAGAGCAGCGCACGGAAATGCCGTTTACCTTCCCGCCGGAGCGGTACCTATTTATCTACTTGTACTTTGACGTGCTTTCGAACTGCTAGGTTGGCAGGAGCAGGGACTGAGCAACGGGAGCTCACCCCGTCGCGGGGATTCGAACTGCCGACCTTCTGATCGGCAAGTCCTAGGCTCTGTGGTTTAACCCACAGCGCCACCCATGTCCATTAAGCACACTTTAATAGTCGTCTGTGGTTTTCGCCTGCTCAGTTCTTCTTTCCTCATCACTTTGATGCCCTGCTTTCAATCCACATTTTCATGTTGACTTTTGTACATGATTTGCATGCAGGTAGAAACATCACCTTGTTGTCTGCTTAGTGTAAGAGTGATCAGAGCAAAGAATCTCCGGCGAACAGATACCCGTAAGTAGCTTTCCTATTCCTTTGTGGTGTGCTAGAATGCAATGAGACTATGGTGCCCAATACGGCTTTAACAGGCCAGTCTTTTACTGAAAAGGAAAAGGCAATTACCCTGAGCCTTGGCCATGCTGGCTGGGGCTGATGGGAACTGGGGTCCAACAACATTCAGACAGTCACTGGTTCCTCATCCCTGTGTTGGAATATTGATACTGGACATTTCACTTTATATGATGTTGTGAATTTTAAAAGTCTGCAAATTCTAATTATGGTAACTAAATCTGCATGCTGCACTTTAAATAATCAGGGATAATAGGAGTTGTAATACATGGAAAGAAGCAGAAGTCCCAGTAAAGGAAGAATGGATACAAAAACTTGGGGAATATGCAGAAATGGTGGAACCTACCGGAAGAATAAGAAATCAAGATAACAAACTTTTTATAAAAGAATGGAAATGGTTTATTGAATATTTGCAGATAAATTGTAAACAGATAAAAACATTAGCAGGGTTACATATTGTAATAACCTGCAGTTTTATAAGAGTATATATTTACAGTAGATACGGTAATTAAATGAGCAAGTTAAATGAATTTGGATCTGCAGAAGATATTAAAAAATAAATTTAAGGAATCACAGAAAGAAGGGGAAGGAAGTCAAATTTTGAAATGTTAAATGAATTGTAAAATAAATAAAATGTATAAATTTGGAAAGTATAAATAAACAAAACTATAAAAAGGAGTTGTAATACAGTGACATCTGGAAGGCCACAGAATCCCTACCCGTGTTCAAACAGAGAATTTTTTGAAAGGATATTTGCCAATATTGGGTATGAATTAATTCTGTACAGATATCAGCCCAATGCACAAATATATATATATATCTGTTAAAAAATAGTTACAAGGTATACAGTGGTACTTCGGGTTACATACGCTTCAGGTTACATACACTTCAGGTTACAGACTCCGCTAACCCAGAAATAGTACCTCGGGTTAAGAACTTTGCTTCAGGATGAAAACAGAAATCGTGCTCTGGCGGCGCGGCAGCAGGAGGCCCCATTAGCTAAAGTGCTTCAGGTTAAGAACAGTTTCAGGTTAAGAATGGACCTCCGGAATGAATTAAGTACGTAATCCGAGGTACCACTGTATTATATCAGCTATCACACAGTTAAAGTGCTACTTTCTCTCCCAACAGTAAGCCATACTGATTGCTATTTGACCCTATGGCTGCCAACGGCTTCTTCTGAAAGGTTCCAGACAAAGACTGTTCAAAATTCTAAAGACCCAGTCTGGAACGAAACTTTCCATTTCATGGTCCAGAGCAAAGTGAAGGTCAGAAACTGATGATCACTCCTTGTTGGTATATCATAATCTCACTGAAAGTGATTTCTTGTGAATTTGAAACGTGCCTTGATTTGTAGAAGACCAGCTCACAGAACTGAGCAGTAGAGTTCCGATGTTAGTGTCATGACACAACTTGCACAATAGGGGAGTTGGTGTTGCTATGCCTGTTGTGGCCTTGCGCCGATTCTAATATATGCATACAGTCCTTTACAAATCCTATTGTATGTGAATGATTGCTTCTTTGAAAGAATCATCAGTCTTCTCCCTAATGTGTGAGTTTTCCTTGTGCAGGGAAATTTGGATGCATGGATGATTTCAGATGAGCAGTCGCTGATGCACATAGGCTCACATAAATATTTGAATTTGCTTCCAGGACTGATTTAAATTTGACAGTAGCCCTAAACAGTGGCGGAGCTTCATGCAGGCTGGGGCGGGGCTGGCTTGGGTCCCAGGGGCATGGCACGCCGCTACAGGGGCGTGGCGCCCAGCGCAGGTGGGGTGGCAGCCGCGATGGCACCCCACCGGGATCATGCTGCGGGGGCAGTGCACTCCCCCACACTCCTCTTCCTCTGCCAGTGGCCCTAAAGAAGATCCCAAAAGTACTTATTCAGGTTATGCACACAGTTGGTTTAACATTTAAAATGCTTCACCCCACGCACTGGCTACATGCATGAAATGTCTACACAACTTCATCATACATCATTAGTGCAAGACTGTTGCATATGAATGGGATGAGTCAGTACATAGGGAGATTCCACCTTACATGATTGCCACCTCATTTAGAACAGTACTTAGATATGCCATAGGTCAAGTGGGGAAGGTGTGGGTCAGCAGTTTCCCAAGGTCCAAAGACCACAGAAGCAATGATGCTGTTGATGGAATACATGCCTATTTTTGAAAGGGCAGGGAATTGAAGGTAAATGTACCCCATGCCTAATTTATATTCCCAATTATCCAACTCTTTTCTAAATTGAACATGTTTGGTCTCTTCTTGCATGGAATTCCATGCCATTGTAAAACGTTTTCCTTTTCGTGTTTTTTTTAAAAAAATATTTATTCAAGATTTTTTACATTTATCACCCAACATATATAATCCCATAGCCAACAGTACAGTATACAAACACAAAAGAGATAACAATAACAATACACACATAAAAGAAAAAGAAAGAAAAAGAAAACAAACAAAATTATAACATCATATCAAGGTTCTTGGTATTCATGCTTCCCTTACTTTGGACTTCCTCACATCTTCCATTCCTGCTTTCCAAGTTTGTAAAATACTTTACAGCAAATTATCACCTTATTTTAATTTCTTATTTGTATTTTTCCCCATATTATACCTCTAATTTTAAATTTATTTTCCAAACACTTAAGTACTTAATTAGGCATAATTTCAACCAATATAAAATTAACTTTTTTCTCCAATTTCACCTATTCTCAGGTTCTTATCGGCTAACTTACTGATGCCACATTTGCTTTCACTCTTGCATCAACTTAACACTCATACAATTTACAATATTTTTGTAAGTAGTCCTTAAATTTCTTCCAGTCCTCTTCCAGTGCTTCTTCTCCCAGGTCGCGGATTCTGCCCGTCATTTCTGCTAACTCCATATAGTCTATCAGTTGCATCTGCCATTCTTCCAGCGTGGGCAAGTCTTGAGTTTTCCAGTGCTTAGCTATCAGTATCCTTGCTGCTGTTGTTGCATACATAAAAAATGTGTAATCCTTCCTTAACACCTTCTGGCCGACAATGCCCAAAAGCAGGGCCTCTGGTTTCTTAGGAAAGGTGTACTTAAATACCTTTTTCAGCTCATTGTAAATCATTTCCCAGAAAGCCCTAATCTTGGGGCAAGTCCACCAGAGGTGAAAGAATGTTCCTTCAGTTTCTTTACATTTCCAACATTTGTTATCAGGCAAATGGTATATTTTTGCAAGCTTGACTGGGGTCATGTACCACCTGTATATCATTTTCATAATATTTTCTTTTAGGGCACTGCATGCCGTAAACTTCACACCGGTGGTCCATAACTTTTCCCAGTCAGCGAACATAATGTTATGCCCAACGTCCTGTGCCCATTTTATCATAGCTGATTTAACCGTTTCATCTTGTGTATTCCATTTTAGCAGCAGGTTGTACATTTTTGAAAAAACTTTGGTTTTAGGATCTAACAGTTCTGTTTCTAGCTTTGACTTTTCCACCTGGAATCCTATCTTTCTGTCCAATTTAAACACCTCTTTAATCTGAGCATAATGTAACCAATCTCTCACTTTATCTTTTACTTTTTCAAAACTCTGCAGCTTCCAAGAGTCTCCATCCTTTTCTAGTATTTCCCAATATTTCGGCCATTTGGCCTCCATATTGAGTCTTTTGTGGGCCTTAGCTTCCATAGGTGACAGCCACCTTGGAGTAAAATGTTTTCCTTTTCGGTCTGGGGTATACAGAACTGTAGAAAAGCTGTACAGTTCTTTTAGCATTTATTTATAGGTCTTTTCTCTCCTATCAGAACATGCTGGAGCTGGGTGTCTTCGATGAGGATGTCTGCCAAGATGAACAACTTTTCACTATTCGCTTTGACATAGCTGGACTCCCACTAAATGAAAAAGTGCTCTTGTCCTTTAAGTCCAATCCAAAGGTCTGTATAAGCAGAAAGAATGTTTAACAGGACAATCCTATGCATGTTCACTCAGAAGTTCAGTAAAAAATTACTCACCAATACGTATGCTGGTTTAGCCCAATGAGAAAGGAAGTATTATTATTAAGTGGAACTTGTTTCTGAGTAAACATGTTTAAGATTGTACTGTGATGTGAATAGTATTTGTTGCCTGAAATGTCTAAGTTCCAGAATTCACAATCTTGATAGGTAATTAAGTAAAATAACTTAGCTGTAATGTGTGTATTATTTAGGGATAGGAGGGATTTTGATTTGGTTAGTGTTTTAGTATGAACCCACCTAATTGGCACTTTCTGAAACAATACTTGAACCAAAATGCACCTATCCTTTGAAATTCACACTTCTCTGAATTTTGTGAATCAGTTCTCCAGTAAGATATTGATGCAGAAATGTGCATATAGGGAAAGGGGGCATAAAAATGCCTATATTCGTGAAAATAATGTACAAAAATGTGTTGTATTAGGGGAAATTGCTTACAAAGATGAGTATATTGGGTAAAATTGCATACATAAATATGTATAATGGGAGCAATCATACAAAATGCTGAAAAAATTTCAACGCTGACAAATTTTCAGCAACGAAAAATCACAGGATAATACAGAAATGGGGCAAAGTAAACATAAGAGTTTCTCATGTTTATGAACAGGTGCACATCCATATCTGTACTACATGTAGTTTGGTTTTATAGTGCTCTCTTGCAATACAAATGCAACACACACACACACACACACACACAAACCCCATTGCCCCAATCCAGCTCTGGTACTATTCACATGGAAGTTGGCTCTCCTAGCTGGATGAGAAACAGTTTTTCAAGCAAGATGAGGTACATGCAGTTTTCTTCTTTAATCCAGAGTCTTGTGCTGTATGCATGCATACCTTTAAAGAAGCTAAATTTCCAGCTATCAGCTGTTCAGGAGAGGAAACTAGAACTGGATTCAGTCCTTCATCCACCACATCTCTCCTTCCCCAACAAGAACTGATACATAGATTTGGGCCTTGGGGATCAGGGAAGTTTAGGGGTGCATAGTACTAAATAAAATATGTGTTTGTGGGAGGGGGGTTTATCTTGTATTTTTATCTTGTGAACCACACTGAGATCTTTTGATGAAGATCAAAATCTAATCAATCTAATAATAAAACAACAACAACAACAACAACAACAACAACAACAACAACAACATACTAGCCAAAGTAATCCATGGGAAATTTAAACTGATTTTAATGGAACTAGGTTGCACCTAAAAAGTTGGTGAGAAAGGAAACACTGTCAAACTGTCAAAGAATTTTGGTATATAGAAAATAAATGGTGATCAAAAGAGGAAAACATGATTATAATTCCCATGCCTTTTCCCAACCTCATCATTCCCCTTTCTAATTTTCCATAACAACTGTCATACATTTGGCTATGAGGAATTGCTGACAGCATATGTCAGGTCTCACTACTCTGCAGTTACATACAGTGGTACCTCGGTTTTCAAACATAATCTGTTCTGGAAGACCGTTTGAGTTCTGAAATGTTCAAAAACCAATAAAGAAAATTGGGGGAGACCCCCAGTGGAAGCCATTCAACTTCTGAGGTGCATTCAAAAACAGAAGCATTTACTTCCAGGTTTTTGGTGTTCAAAAACCAAAACGTTTGACTTCCAAGACGTTCAAAAACCAAGGTACCACTGTATTTTGTAGTCTAGCAGCGCAGAGTCTGTTATTAAAAGGGTTTAATTCACTGACCACTCTCTTATTTCAGGATCAGGAGGAGCTGGAGGTGGAATTTGAGTTACGAAACAGGTGAGTAAATTCAGATACTACAGATTACTTAAAGCAACATACCTTACCCTTCTGATAACCAGAATGACCGCTCCCCGCTTAAAACGGGGGGCGCCCTTTGTGTGGACGCGTGCAGCCCCTAGATCTGGAGCGGCTCCAACAGCATAGGCTTGGCCTTGCCTTCCCTCAGGTGGGATACCTGGAGGTCTCCGCCTACCTCAGTCATTTGCCCAATCCCACCTGGGGGAACCGTTGCCAAGGAGACCAGGCCAGGTAGGGGAGGGACTACCTGCCCACACAATAGAGGGAGGATCTTACCTGGGAATCCTCACTTGGCTCCAGAGTTAATTTTGTAACTCAAATTCCAGAGGTGGAATTTGAGTTACGAAACAGGTGAGTAAATTCAGATACTACAGATTACTTAAAGCAACATACCTTACCCTTCTGATAACCAGAATGTAAATCCATAAAAATGAGTTAATTTTTAGTACTCAGGAAACATTGTCAACATTTCTCTCAATGACAGTAAAAGAAACATGTATTAATGCTCCAGGCCTGGCCAGAATTTTGACAAAGCCCCATAAGAAATGGTGTATTTTTAAATTTCCCAGGCTACAATGGCAAAGCTATGTATCTGGTATGGGGAAGGAGAATCAAAAGCAGAGAAGTTGTCAAATTCAAAGCCTTACTGAGCTCATGCCAGCAGACTGGAAAGTCAAGTCAGGTAACCTTTATTGGCATCACATAGGAACATTCAGAATACAAATAGAGTAAATAGGCCAGTGTGATCTTGTCGCCATTTCAACAGTACAGGACTGGAAAGTGTATTTTTCTTTATTTTTTTCTCCTTCTGCCAGCGTTGAAAATAAAAAGATTTTCTGAAGGGAAAATAAGTATGGCAGCAAACTCGTCCCTCACACCATTCAAGGTCCCCTCTTGCTCTCTCTGCTGCTGAACACTGACAGCACCTCAGCAATAGTAGCAGTCCTTTCTATTTCCATTTTCAAGAGGAACATAAACATTGTATTACATGAATGTATATTCATTTACATTCCATTTATTTTTCAGTTTGAGTGTTCCTGAAACCATTGTTACGAATGGAACTCTTGTGGTAATTTTGTTATTTTCTGTCTGCTTTCTTGTACTTTAGATATATAGTGCAAGGGAAACAAAGAGATTATAAATTATATCAAAGTTAATGAATTATTATATACTCTCTGAGACAGGAATAGTATAAAACTGAACATAATTTTCCTACTGAGCCATCAGGCATCTTCTCCTGTATGGGATGCTTAATTACTTGAGCGTTCAGTTGAAGTTATCATGACCTTCCCAAGCATGTGATAAACCCTATGGATACTTATTTCTGGAATAAGTCCAGTTGAAAGAGGTTTATTGCAGCCCTAGTAAAAATATATACTCTGAGAAACAGGTTACTAAATGTGACAATATATTGATAAATCCAATCATTATTTTTAATCCAGTCAAGTGTGGGTAATATGTCATTGGTCATTCCTGATAAATTTACTGTCCATTTGGATTTGAACCTGACTGAATAGGTCCCAGCAGAACCCAGCTTAGCCTGTTTCTTTAACCACAGACATTGGGTTTTTGTTCCTTTGAGAATTTAAAATATGGGCAAATATAAATACCATCCATAATACATTTGCCTGTTCTTCATGGACTGAGGTTCTGAAATTAAACATTCCATAAAAATTGTGATCCAGGTGGCAAACCTATGGCCACAACTTTCTTACTTGCTTCCTTTTTAAAAAATGCTCTTCTTGTTAAAAAAATTTAAATCAATACATTGGATACAAACTAAGTTGTATGTGTGTAGGCTCATTAATTTCAGTGAGTTTGGTTGTAAATTGCTTTGGGTTGCCTTGGGCAAGATGAAGCGATGAATATAATAAATAATAATAATTTTTAAATGGGTTTAATTAAGTGGCGCTGTGGTGTAAACCACTGAGCCTAGAGCTTGCCGATCAGAAGGTTGGCGGTTCGAATCCCCGCGACGGGGTGAGCTCCCGTTGTTCGGTCCCAACTCCTGCTCACCTAGCACTTCGAAAGCACGTCAAAGTGCAAGTAGCTAAATAGGTACCGCTTCAGCAGGAAGGTAAATGGCATTTCCGTGCACTGCTCTGGTTTGCCAGAAGCGGCTTAGTTATGCTGGCCACATGACCCGGAAGCTGTCTGCAGACAAACGCTGGCTCCCTCGGCCTGTAAAGCGAGATGAGTGCCGCAACCTCAGAGTCGTCTGCGACTGGTACCTTTACTTTTACCTTTAAGTCTGAATTGTAATCAAACACTATATAAAATTATTTCAGAATCCTTGTATTTTCTGTACTATACTGTATTTGTGTTTCAGTCATTCAATTTTGAAAGGGATTGATTATTATGCCCCCCCCTCCAAATGCTAACTTTTATATGGCGAAGAAAGTAATAAAAGGAAGTTTCAACTAGATTCTAAACTTTAAATGTTCTTCTGTCTTCTTGTATGCCTACAGGCTCGTGAAGTTTGTTGTTTGGAATTTGAAGTAGAGAAGAAAAAAAGACAGAAATCAAGTAAGATTTTCATCATAGTAATAATGGTTTCTCTAGTTTTCAACCAGTAATAATTATTTTGAAGAATGTTTAAAATGAATTAACACCATTGTTTTAAATATATAGAATGCCTAGTAAAACTTACCTAATCTTACATAAAGCCTAGTTCTCTTAAGCTGATATTTCTTCATACTGTATCTTTCATCAATATATTGACACATCACCCCAATTATTGCAAGGCTAATATATCCCATACATATTTCTCTTGATCCAGCAAGGGAGCTTTGTATATAGAGGCTGTGTGCAAATGAAGATTCACCTCTAAGACTACAAACCTATGCACACTTACTTGAGATCAAGTCCCACTGAACTCATTGACACCTCTGAGCAGTGCTTTTTTATGGTGGTACGCATACCCCTAAACATTTTGTGAATCTAAGTTTGGCCTCGTTGAGGGGCAGTATTTCAATATGCGTAGGAAAATGAGAGTACCCCTAAACATTTTTTTTTAAGAAAAAAAGCACTGCCTCTGAGTATACATGGAGAGGATTGTGCTGTGAATGTGCCTTTGCATTCAAAGAGTATTGCTCACCTGCTGGGTGAACGAATATTTATGATGGATGGGAATGCAATGAGCAAGGCAAATTCAATAAGGAGCTGTATATATATTTCACTGTTCGTATTTGATTTCCTCAAAAGTATAGTTTTTGTTCTGAGTCTTGTTGTTTAGTCGTTTAGTCGTGTCCGACTCTTCGTGACCCCATGGACCAGAGCACTCCAGGCACTTCTGTCTTCCACTGCCTCCCGCAGTTTAGTCAAACTCATGCTGGTAGCTTCGAGAACACTGTCCAACCATCTCGTGCTCTGTTGTCCCCTTCTCCTTGTGCCCTCCATCTTTCCCAACATCAGGGTCTTTTCCAGGGAGTCTCCTCTTCTCATGAGGTGGCCAAAGTATTGGAGCCTCAGCTTCACGATCTGTCCTTCCAGTGAGCACTCAGGGCTGATTTCCTGATACGTTTGATCTTCTTGCAGTCCATGGGACTCTCTAGAGTCTCCTCCAGCACCATAATTCAAAAGCATCAATTCTTCGGCGATCAGCCACCTTTATGGTCCAACTCTCACTTCCATACATCACTACTGGGAAAACCATAGCTGAGTCTTAGCATGGTGCAATAACAAGGCCAAGTTAACTAACGGAGCAAGTAATATATAAATTAGTGATGTGGGTGCCATTAAGAAATCTGATTTTTGCAGAGGCCCACTTTGAGTTTAGCACAAAAAGTTATTGCAAGCAACAGACCTGACATGAACATTTTTCCTTCTTTCTTTCAGAAGGTGAACTATCCCTTATGCTGAAAGGATCCCATGAAGGACACCAGGAGCTTAGTTCAGGCCAGTCCTCATTCCACTATGCCAAATATAAGCACCCGACAATGGATGTTAAACTACCGAAGAAGGGTCTAGATTATGCCTTTGTACGTTATTCATCAGCCGAACCCTAAGGGCTTATCCACACTTCCAGTTGGTCCCACTCTTTCTGGGCCTGCACTTAAAATCTCTGTGTCTGAGTGGTTTTGTGTTTGTTTGTTTGTTTGTTTGTTTGTTTGTTTGTTTGTTTGTTTGTTTGTTTTGTCCCAGAGCTTTCCCCCATTATAACCTGCTCAATTGGAGCAAACATCCATTCAGATTTTACATGGATTGCCATTTGCTCCAACTGAGCTTTAAAGAGTGGATTTTAATGGGGAAAGCTCCAGAGCATAAAAACAGGGGGGAGATGTGCTTGGACATGGAGCTTTAAAGCTCAGACCATGCCTAGAAAGAGAGGAGGAATTGTAAGTGTGCATAAACCCTAATGATAAAAAGGTTCCTTTTTTTCATTTATGTTTTATTTCCGGGGGGGGGGCAGGGGATTAATTGTGAAAGCCACTCTGAGAATATATATCATGTGTATACTAAAGGGAGAAGCATACAGTTTTTTAAAAATAAAAAGATACGGATGAGCGGACTTCCCCCAACCCTCCAGAGCAGAATATAAAGGTGTGCAGGAAGATGCTGAAGGGTGGGGTCGCCATATTTCAAACAGTGAAAATCCAGACAGAAAAGTTGTTGAGCACTGCCGACATGGGCTGCCATATGGATTTTCCCGGACATTTTACCAATTTTCGCCCAGCCACTGTATGGCCATCCTACTGGAGGGAGAAGTGGAAACTGAAATCCTGTTGCATAAGTGGAAGTTCTTTCTCCTCAGGTGCAAACAGCATTGGATAAAATCCTAGACATGCAACTTTGCACTCTTTCTCATAGAAACATGTGGGGTTTTTTCTTCTTCCAGGGGCCAAGCTCTTATAACAGGAAAGAAAGATCCCTCAGAGTGGATATAAATTCACTTCCTACAAGCAAGAAAATAGTGCTCGCAGAGGTGAGAGTCAGTTGCTGTCCTCCTGAATATTGCTTTGAATGGATTCTTTTGGAAAAGAAATAGCCATCATTGCTTGCTTCCATAATCTACAGCGTAAGGGGCCAGTATATCAGTGGCGTAGCATGGGGGGTGTAGGGGGGGCCGGCCGCACCGGGTGCAACATCTGGGGTTAGGGCAAATCCACAGGTTAGGGGGCGCAAATCCACGGGTTAGGGGGCGCAAATCCACGGGTTAGGGGGCGCAAATTACTTGCCTTGCCCCGGGTGCTGACAACCCACGCTACGCCACTGCAGTATATCACTGTCATTGTTAATTGTTAATATAATGATTAGGTAGACTGTTGCCTCTGCATCATAGACAAGGCCATATGTACAATGCAGTAAAAAATATTTCATTTTTTTTTAAAATAAATTTTTATTGATTTTCCAAACACATAATAAAAACAAACAGTACACAAAACAAAAACATACAAACATATAAACATGTATAATTTCATAATCATATTTTCATACACCTTACTTCCCGGACTTCCCCATACCTCCCCTTTTCTGCATCCTTGTTTTGAATTTCTTCAGCAACTCCTCCAATTAATTAATTATTTAAATCACTTTCATTAGATTCTTTTTTCTTTAGCTTATTGATTACACCTGCAATTCTCTATTTCTTAATTCCTTAACATCTTAACACTCCTCAATTTTACAGCAATTTTTAAGATATAATTTAAATTTCTTCCAGTCTTCTTCCACTGTCTCTTTCCCCTGGTCACGGATTCTGCCAGTCATCTCGGCCAGTCCCATATAGTCAATCACCTTCGTCTGCCATTCTTCCAGAGTGGGTAGTTCTTGTGTCTTCCAATACTTTGCCAGAAGAATTCTTGCTGCTGTAGTGGCATACATGAAAAACGTCCTATCCTTCTTTAACACCAATTGGCCAACCATGCCCAAGAGAAAAGCCTCAGGTTTCTTAGGAAAGGTCCACTTAAGGACTTTCTTAATTTCATTATAGATCATTTCCCAAAAGGCTTTAATCTTCGGGCAGGTCCACCAAAGGTGATAAAAAGTACCTTCAGTCTCATTACATTTCCAGCATTTATTGTTGGGCGAATGGTAAATTTTTGCAAGCTTGACTGGGGTCATGTACCACCTATAGATCATTTTCATAATGTTTTCTCTTAAGGCATTACATGCCGTAAACTTAACACCGGTGGTCCGTAACTGTTCCCAGTCAGCAAACATAATGTCATGACCGATATCTTGTGCCCATTTGATCATAGCTGATTTCACCGTTTCATCCTGTGTATTCCATTTCAACAGCAAATTATACATTCTAGACAAGTTCTTAGTATTGGATTCTAACAGTTCTGTTTCTAATTTTGACCTCTCCATCTGGAAGCCTATTTTCCTGTCCTGTTTAAATATCTCATTTATCTGAAGGTAATGCAACTCTTTTAGTACTAGTATCTGGCTGTTGCAAGGTCAATACTAGGTCATCTGCAAAAGCCCTTAACTTGTAATGTCTAGCTCCGACCTGAACTCCTTTAACCAACTGGTCCCCTCTGATCATGTTTAACAAAACCTCCAGGACTGATATAAAAAGTAAAGGGGATATTGGGCATCCCTGTCGTGTACCTTTTTCTATGGGTATTTCTTCCGTAACCACATTATTTACAATTAACTTTGCTTTTTGTTTAGAATATATTGCACCTATACCGTTTTCAAAACCTTGGCCTACCCCCATCCCTTGGAGATTCTTTTTCATAAAGCTCCAACAAATGTTATCAAAGGCTTTCTCCGCGTCCACAAAAATTTGAACGGCCTTCCTATTAATGTCCACTTCTAACAGTTCCAAAATGTCTATAATGTTCCTCACATTATCTGACATATGTCTCCCTGGAAGAAAGCCAGTTTGGTCCTTATGAATCTCCCCTACCAACACTCTCTTAAATCTTTTTGCCAAAATGTCTGCAAAAATTTTGTAATCCACATTGAGTAATGATATAGGGCGGTAGTTTTTAACCTGGTTCTTTTCAGTCTCTGTTTTCGGTATAAGTGAAATAAAAGCTTCTTTCCACGATTCAGGTGCCTTTTTCCCCTCCAAAATTTCGTTACAAACTTCCTTCAGTGGTTGTACTAGCCATTCCTTCAACGCTTTGTAATATCTAGCGGTCAAACCATCTGGTCCTGGAGATTTTCCCAATTGCATATTCTGGATGGCACCCTCTATTTCTTGTCCTGTTATTTTCTCATTCAAAATCATTTTGCTTTGCTCTGAAATTTTTGGTAATCCATATTTCTTAATAAATTCTTCTATCTCCTGTTCGTTAACTGGCCCTTGTGCATATAATTTCCTGAAGAAACTTTGAAAGCAATTACTTATCTCGTTTGGTTTGTGGATAATCTTTCCATCCATTTCTAAACTTGTCACAGTGTTCAATTTTTGCCTCTTTTTCAGTTGCCATGACAGAAGTTTCCCACATTTATCTGCTGATTCAAATGTCTTTTGTCTCATTTGCTTTATTTTCCATTCTATCTCTTGATTCATCAATTCCATATATTGCATCTGATAGTACTTTATTTCTCTCAAAATCTCATGAGACTTTGGTTTAGACCTCAATTTCTTTTCACCTTCTTTCATTTTTTCCAAAAAAATTTCTTTCCTCTCATTCTGCTTTTTCCTCTTTATGGAGTTCTGTTGTATTAGGAAACCTCGCATCACGGCCTTGCTTGCGTCCTAAATTATTCTTTTTTCCACTTCTGTTCTCAAATTTATCTCAAAGTAATCTTTCAATGTTTTTGGGCCTTCTTGTAGATCTCTTCATCTCTGAATAGGGTGTCATTCATTCTCCATCTAAAGGATCCAGTTGATGTTAATTTCATCTCCATCTTTACAGCGTTATGGTCGGAGCAAGTCTTTGGGCAGATTTCTACTTTTTTTATCCTTGGCGCCATACTACTAGTTACCCAAATTTGGTCGATTCTTGTCCATGTCATTTTTGCTTCAGAGAAAAATGTTCCCTCTCTCTTTCCAGTAAAAAATATTTCAATTCCAAAGTAAAATTCCAAAACTATCTAAATCCTTACGTCTGAATCAATTATTGATTTATGGCTTATTGAATCACTTGCTTCTTATTTTGTTGCTTTTGAGGGATAATGAAATAATGTAAAAGGATCAAACTATGTATCTTTGCTCTGGCAGTTTTAAATCTTTTAACATATTGCTTAACTAACAAATATGATAAAAGTCCTATTTTTTTTTTTAAAAAAAATCTAAATTCTGAGTAGAAATTGTAGAAAGAAGGAAGAACTTCCCCTTTATTTATGATTCCCAGAAAGGCAAATTTATCGACATGTTTCAATATGGGGGTGAATATAAATTTAATCAATTAATTCATGAGTCACTCAGATGCCAGTTTATTGATTGTTACAGTCTTAATTGGTTGATAGACACTGTTGTATGATTTCATTTGGTCTGCAATATTAAGGAAACCAAACCAATTTACACCTCCTGGATTAATGCACTGATCAGATTATAATTAACCTTCAGATTTCTCACTTCCATGTATTAAAATGTGTACATTGGGGGCAGGGGGGAGTATGCAAAAAGGTATGTTGTGATAAAATGCATATTTAAATTTTAATTTCCATGCAGATTTTAAGAGGGGATCGCATCTTAATGTGGAAATGGGATGGAATGGATTTGTGACTAACCACATAGGATACTAACACAGATCAGCAATAGACTGATCCATCCCTGTTATGTTATAAAGTGGGCTGCCTAGCGAATTGAAATAATTGTTAGAAATTATAGCATTTCTTTTTACCCTTTATCTAGCTCTGGTCATGCATAATCAAGATGCTAACATTTACTTAGCTGCTTGAGAACATAGAAGGGGATTTGCATTGGAATGTGTATCTCATTCAAAGTAATATAGCCTGTATAGAAGAGGAATGGGAAATCTCAAATACAGCCCTCCGGGTCTCTCTGTTCAGCCTGTGGGACTCTCCCCAGGCTGCGCACCTCACAGGCCTTATTATCCTCAAGTACAGTATCTTCCTGTACGGAATGTGTTCTGTAACTGTGGTAATGCCTCTTATCTAGATGAAGGACGGAGAGGGGTGTGTGGGTGTAAATGGCTCACTTTTGCATAATGTAGCCTACTGTACAAAGGCCATGTCAATTGCTGCATCCGCTGTTGGCTTCTAGGCCATATAGAAGGTTGTTCAAAAATGTGAGAGGCAATGTGACTCTCAGGCTGAAGAAAGTTCCTCACCCTTGTATCCTCCTTTCAATATTTATCTGAATTTGTGTTAAGATTTATGCCCAAGTAAGTGGAACGTGTGAACCTAAGAACCCCTGCCGAAACAAACCAAAGAACTATCTAATATAGCATTCTGTTCTCACAGTGGCCAACCAGATTCTGATGGGAAGCCCACTCACAGGTGGGGACTGTGCTGTTGTGCTCAGGTGCTGCTTTCGGGCATCTGATTGGTCATGGTAAAATCAGGATGCTGGGTTAGACAGGCCATTGGCTCAATCCAGCAGGCTCTTCTTATGTTCTTAGGACCTACGTGCAACCACATTCTCCCCATTTGTGATGCCCAGAAACTGGTACACTGAAGATGGAACATGGTTAAGAGCAAGTGATAGGCTTCCTCTCAATGAATTCTCTAATCCTCTTTTAAAGCCACACAGGATGGTGGTGAATTCTGGTGCCTCTTTTTCTAAAAGAATAGCACTGATGGTGGCCCATCACTACATCATGTGGGAGTGAATTTCATACTGAATAAGTATTTATTTATTTTTTGTCTTTCTTGAATCTTCCAAAAGAATTCTGTTTACATGCATGCATCTTCAGAACTGACTTAGGGCATCTATGTCCCATGTTTCAAAGGGAGGCAATGTATTCCTAGGAGTGAAATTTGAGTTTGTATTCTGTTTTTGTTTTTTCAGAATAAAAAAATGGCATTGCATGTGAAAACAGAAGTCTGGTAAGAGATCCTTCCTGTGTTGGATAGCTATAATCTTAACTATTTTTCTACTTGTCTGTCTGTTGGAGAAATATTCTTACAGGAGATTAGCCACGTGTTCAGGATATTAGTCATTTGTATGCAGTATGAACACTGTACCTAACATTTATTGAATAAACAGCGCTTACATCTATATAACAAGAGTCACGTTTTATACAGAGAGGGCTGATGGAGCCTATAGCTTTAGAGCTCTAGTAAGCCACACTTTTGTGGTGTCGATCTGCTTAGTCTTTTTAATCGAAAGCACTGCTGTGTAAAAACCACCACATAAACCTTGCTGCCTTGTAAAAGCAAATGACTTGATGCCCCGTGAGGCTTCGCCTGCCACACATTTTGTTAATTGGTCAGCTCAGGGATGTTGGCAAGCAGTCTCTAAGCTTGACTCTTGGATGAGTAGCACCTTTTAAAAGTTCTGAAACAGATTCTGAGATACAATATGCCTGTGTTCCCCCTACCACCCTCTGTGTGGCTATTCCAGCCAGACTGACCTAGATGTGCGCTTGGGATATGGCCTTTGTACACAGGAGCAAGATTTCTTGTGCAAAAGGCAGAAGATTGTTGCTGGGGCGTTGAAAAATGTTCTCAAACTAGAAAAGGATCTGCAGGATCATGAGGTACGTGGTGCAGAACTCTGGCTATCTCTGCTGTATGAATTATCACAATATGTGGAACGGAAATTGCAGAGAGAGTCTGGGAGCAAGAATAATATGTTTCATGGTCAGCACACCACTGTGGTAGCCTCCCATACAAAGTTGTTTTCCTGTTCCCTGCAGTGATTTAGTGTTACGGTGTCAGAGTGCTGCATCTGAACTGGCCACAGTGCACACGAGGAATAGTTCACCAATGATGCCATCTTTTCCAAGGCTTGAGAGAGCTGAACTTTCCAAGCGACTGCCCAAAGCGGTATCACATTCATGCCATTATTCATTCATGTGCCCTGCTGAAATTGGCTTAGTCGCCCGTTCTATTTTCTCATCCTCTGAGATGAAGGCGAGCATAATAAAATGCAGGCTAAAAGAGCTGTAGCTCAATAGCATAGGTTCAGTCCTTGGCATTTCCAAGTATTATTTATTTATTAAATTTGCATACCAGACTCTGAGGTCCAGCTCCGAGGGCCTTCTGGAGGTTCCCTCCCTATGAGAAGTGAGGTTACAGGGAACCAGACAGAGGGCCTTCTCGGTAGTGTCACAAGCAATGAGAGAGGGGCATTAGCTCACCATAGCACATGCATTTTTCTTGCCTCTGACTACTTCGCTGAGATTGCTGTGCTGCCTTTAACCCTATTGACCTCATTAGACTGAAGAAGAAACGAGTTAGTAAGTTCTCCGCCACTGAAAACAGCAGCCTTGAATCTGCTCCTCTTTTTTGCCTTGTGAAATTTTATCGTGTTTTTAATTTTCTGTTGTGAGCCGCCCAGAGTGGCTGGGGAAACCCAGCCAGATGGGTGGGGTATAAATAATAAATTATTATTACTGCCCTTCATCCAAAGATCCCACAGCGGTTCACAACAGAAAAATACATAATGAGAATTCAAAATACATAATAAAAATGAAACAACAACCTCCCTCCCACAAACGCATTTTAAAAGCCATAGAATGTTATTCAGCCCAAAGCCTGGTTGATGAGAAACGTTTTTCCATGGTGCTGAGAAATATTCAATGCAGGTTCCAGGCGAGCCTCCCTGGGAAGGGCATTCCACAAATAGGACTGGGAGTGTCTCCAGTCTGAAACCACAGAGAGAGATACCATGGGCCCTTTGAGTTCAGTATTTTCTACCCTGACTGACAGGGACTCTCCAATGGTTGATATGTTTTGATATTCCTGACACATTGGGCATATTGAATGTTTCAATAAACATTTCCACTTTTAGCATCAATTGGAGGCTTCCCATTTTTCCTTTGACTTTTTCGGCTTCTTGTTGTTGCCCCTTCCTTTGCATGTTCTGCTGATCTCGTCAACACCAGTGGTGATGACATTTAATAATAGTTATTATCTATCAGGTTTCCCAGGCTTCAGACCCAAGTAATGAGTTAAGCATGCAATTAGTAAAGCGACCGGTAAAGTAATTGCTTAAGCATGCACTAAACTCTCCCATTGAAATCAGCAAGACTTAATTAAAAATGAGGGGTTTAAATCAGTAGTCTGCTAAAGTTTTCATCAGTTGTGGCACAGACAGCAATTTTATTGATTTGATTCATTATACTTTTATACTGCTTAGCCAACTGTGTTCTCTTTGAATTTTAATCAGTGCAGGAAGAACCAGTGATGATTACTAGGGTTGAGATTTTTAAGAGCACATGACTGCTCGAAACCAGTGGAGCACTAATTAAACATCCCATCAGCATAAGGATATACACTTGGGCAATGGAAGTTTCTCCCCACTCCTTCTCCCACTCCTCCCTTAAATCTGTTCTGGGTTGTTTCCCCCACCCCCAGCTCTCTGGACCAGATTGGGGTGTGGGGCAGAGAATGAAGTTGTTGAAAGTGACCTTCCATTCAGGAGTGGTAGCTGTTGTTTTCAAAAATTACAAGTTATATTCCAAGTTTAGATTGCTTCAGGATCTAAAAAACCCCACCCCTACTAAGGTGTTCGTAATGTGCAAATGTCTTCAAACAGAATAATCAGTTCACTGGTTAAAAAGCTGTTTCTGCAATTTATTTTATTGATTGACAGCCATAATTAAAATACTTCTGTTTCTTGTGCATTAGCCTGCTTTTCCACAGTCATCTCTAATTTGTTTTTGTTTTTAAAGTAATATATTCCTTACATGCAAATTAATTTCAAAGGGGGCATACATATCATGAGATGTGTGACATGTGTGTTGCATGTCATGATTACATATTTCAGACAGCTGTCCAAATACGTATACAGTCATGCCACACTTCATGTATTACCATAGTTGAGATTTTCTATTCAAATTGGTAAAACGTGTATGAAATTGTGGTCTGCGAATAGGCTTATGTAGGGAAGGAGAAGTTGTGAGATGGAGGAGACTTTAAAGAAGGCATTGACCAAAGCAAATGAATGAGAGGGATGTGAGAGAGATTGTATTTTCAGTTAGCCTGGTTATGGAATGCTCTGAACTGATATGCAATGTATAAAAGAAAAATAGGCTAGCTGTGAAACCGGGTATGAAGCAACTCTTTACTAATATCACAAACTGGCAGAATAACTGCCTGAATAATAATGAAGAACAGCTGATTCATTCTTTGCAGTTTGTAATTTATCTCTATTATTGATTATATTGCTTAATTAATTAATTACCACCTTTATAAAGGCTCTGTGGAGTAGAAAATATTAACAGTGAATTATCAGTTTCCACTTTTGCATCATCAAGCATGATGGGTCCTAACAGAACATTTCTTTCTTGCTGCCAGCCTCTTCTAATCCAGAAATAGATTAGCTGCAGATTTACTTTGCCAGATCCCATCATACCCCAGCAGGGAGGCCAGACCCCTCATGGAATCATGGGGCCGCCATCTGCACAGAGGTCATCATGGTGTCCATATGTGAAGTGTCCCTGCATCTTTGTGTGCTCTAGCTTTCTTGTTTATGCATTGCAGGTTCCAGTAGTTGCAATTATGACAACAGGGGGCAGTACAAGATCACTGACTGCGTGCTATGGAAGCCTACGAGGTCTTCAGAAGTTGAATCTCTTAGATTGTGCTACATACTTAACCGGTTTGTCTGGCACAACATGGTAAGGACACAGACATTGGGTTCTATGTGGAGTTATAGAAGTTAGCCTTGTTTGGTCTGTAGGTTACTTAACTGCTTGGCTGAACATAAAACGGAATCGCTGATCTATATCAGTACCAAAGCTCTGGCTTGCTATTGTTTGTGAACCTTTTCCAGTGTTGTTCTAACTTGAAGACACAGGAGCCAGTAGAGTCATTTACATACTTGGCTGGATCTAGACTTATTTGCAGTGAACTTGCAGCAGACCCACTGAAATCAATGTTAGAAGTTAAATGTGATAAAAAAATAGCATGGCACCAGCCCTTTCATTAAAAGCCATCAATTCCCCAAGAATCTGTAGTGATGCAAATAAGACTAGAATCTGAAGTTGCCAACTAAATAGGTTTGGAATAGACAAAAGAAAGTTCCTCTTTCCATAACTGTTTATCAATAGCTAGCAGCTATGATCACTAAATAGAAATCCCATGTTGAGAGATAGCATACCTTAGAATACCATTAGGGTACAATAGGAGAGCCGTTGACTTGTGGACTTCCTAGAGGCATCTGTCTGGCACCGCTATTGGAAACAGGATGTGTTGCTAAAAGGAACTACATCCAAATGGATTCCAGGATCAAGCAACATAGCAGCCTTCATCCAAGCAAAACAACTGGAAGGTACCAAACTGTATAAGCTTATGTTCTCACACTGTCCTTCCATGTCTTTCCTTTCTCAGGACCATGGGGAACTTGTACAGAGATGCTTGTTGGTCCAAAAAAGATTTGGATGAGCAAATCAAAGAGGTGAAAAGACATGTGACCAAGTGCAAGCTGGATGGCTTCTCCATAGAGCGTTTGAAATATTACAACAGACAGCTGCATGAGCGGAAAGAAGAGGGACAAAAGACGTCCTGTATAGACCTATGGGGGCTCCTGATTGAATATTTGCTACATGATGGGGTACAGTACTTTTGTTGCATTTATTTTTAGCCTGTTAAATAGCACAGATCATCCAGGCATACTGGATATAACTTAGACATTTATAAATCTAGGCCTTTGAGTTGGGAGAGATGCTAAGTGTGGATAAGCTAGGCTGACAGGAACTGGGTTTGAGAGGGTCACTGCTGCCATCATAGTACACTCACAATTTTGTTGTCTCGTGCCCCCTATGGTCAAATAAATTTTGTGGATAATTGAAAGAATACGGGAAAAAACAAAAACCAACCCACAAAGCCTGTTGTGCCAGAGGCGAAAGTAGGGTGAGTGCATAAGGCATGAACAATAATCTTTCACCTTGCACTCAACTGCCTCAAAAAATAATCTGCCTCCAGGCTCAGCATTAGAAACAACAACAAATTAACAAATTAATGGAGAATATGATGCTTAAATGAAACCTTCATTATGCTCCGAGATGTTGCTCCTCAGTATAACAGTCTATTTGGCTCACAATGTGATGCCAGAATCACATTGGACCAGTGGTTTTCAACCTGTGTTCCATGGCACCCTGGGGTGCCTTGAATGATGGCCAGTGGTGCTGCGGGCAACACTGGCCTCTGTCCCTCTTCCCTTGCCTCCCTCCTCTGATTCCCTCTCACATCTCTGCCTCCCAAGGCTTGCACAGTTGTTTTGTTGCAGCAGCCCTGGCTACAAGCTCCTCAGGGGAGTGTTGCCTCTGGAGCTGGCCAGGGGGTCCTGATTGCCAGAAGCTGAGGTGGCCTTGGAGTAAGCAAGCAAGTGGGTGAGGGAGCCCAGCCAGCCAGTCTGCCAGCCCTTGCTTCTGGGAATGGACAGACAAGTCCCAGGCCCCTGTGGGGCAATGTGAGGAGGCACCTTTCTCTGGGGCTGGGGGGGGAGGAGCTCAGAGACCAGGGGTGGCAGCATCAGCTGCTCAGGAGTACTCCCAAAAAGAGGGAGAAGAGAGGAGACTGAGGGAACACTTCACAAGGAGGGTGTTTGAAAAAGCGGTGAGGGGCTGCTAGCTCTGCAGGCAAGGGATGACAAATAGGTTCCTGAGCCCCACAGGGGTGCCGCAGAAAGAAGGTAGTTCGTCAAGGGATCCATGGACTCAAAAAGGTTGAAAACCTCTGTATTAGACCACTTTCTTTTTCCTGAGCTCATCTTATATTTCTTTCAATCAACACAGAAAGACAACCATAAACTGTCTGATCAGCAGCAAGCAATTAATGAGGGCCAGAATCCTTTACCAATCTACACTGCAATCAATGTGAAAGAGAAGTACAGCACTCTGGATTTCAATGGTAGGATATTTTTGTTTTTTAATCTGTCACTAGATCCTCATCTCCAATTGTTTTTTTGTGAGAGAGAAATGAGGGAGTAGGAGTTTGGTATTGCCTCATGATTGGAAAGCCACCTTAACCAACTATGTAAAAGTTGGGTAAAGGTAAAGGGACCCCTGACCATTAGGTCCAGTCGTGGCCGACTCTGGGGTTGCGGCGCTCATCTCGCTTTATTGGCCAAGGGAGCTGGCGTACAGCTCCCATGTGGCCAGCATGACTAAGCTGCTTCTGGCGAAGCAGAGCAGTGCACGGAAATGCCGTTTACCTTCCCACTGGAGCGGTACCTATTTATCTACTTGCACTTTGACATGCGTTTGAACTGCTAGGTTGGCAGGAGCAGGGACTGAGCAACGGGAGCTCACCCCGTCGCGGGGATTCGAACCGCCGACCTTCTGATCGGCAAGTCCTAGGCTCTGTGATTTAACCCACAGCACCACCCGCGTCCCAAAAGTTGGGTACAAATGTAATAAATACATGAAGTCCAGAGGCAATGTGGGTATCATAACCCCACTGAGAATGCTGTCCCTAAAGATGTGTAGAAACATAAGAGTGATCACTCTAGCATACCCTCAAACTGCCCTGATTTTCCAGGGACAATCCTGGAATTACAAAAGCCATCCCGGCTTCTGATCTGATCCCGGAATGTTCTGCAACTGCTGATCCCAGAATTTCCTCCGCAACTGAGCTCAAAGAGGAGGATGAGCCAGAGCTCCTGCCAAGCGACGGCAGATGTGGCTGTGAGGAGAGCATCCTCTTGCCTCTCCATGGCTGCTGCTGCCAACTTCCTCCCATGGGCAGCTTGTAGCGGCTGCTGGAGAGCAGGCGAGGAGGAGGAGGAGAGGCTGCTGCTGCACAAGGAGTCTTGATTTAAAATAATAATAACAATAACAACAACAACAACAATAACAACAACAACAACAATGCTTTGTGCATCTGCATCTAATCTTGCCCCTTTCTTACATTTATTTATTTGTGTGTGTTTTTCTTTTTGTAAATCTACCAAAGAATAAAATAAAACTGGGACAGTGGAGGGCATGTGTTCTGTGTCCCATTGGTGCGGTGGTGGTGGGGATGACAAAAATGGGGGGTTGAGGAGGGTCAGTTGGGGGGAGTGAGAAATGTCCCTCTTTTCATCCGAGGAATGTTGGAGGGTATGCTCTAGCTGGCTTGCAGTTTCCACCTAAGGTCTGCTTCAGAGTTGAGGCTTCTCCACACTTACATTTTGCTCCATATTTTCCAGCTACAGGTCCACACTTTAAAGCTCCATGTCTGAGTGCTCTCTTTTTTTGCACCAGAAAAACCTGCTCTTTAAAGCTGGAGCACAACGAATAGCAATTTGGGCTTTCCGCGGATTGCCATTTTGCTCCAGTAGAGCAGTAAGAGTGGTTTTCGTAGGGAAAGCTCCAAAGCAAATAAAAATAAAAATAAAAGAATAGAGCGCTTGGACATGGAAGCTTTAAAGCACAGACCATGCCTAGAAAGCACAGAGGAAAGAAAGGTAACTGTGGCTAAGCCCTTATAATGCAATGACCTAGTTTGCACATGACATTTAACCAAGCTATGCTTTAATGTGAGCAACAAGTGTGCTACTGCACACTGTGATTTCTTTGGACAGGGTGAGCTATAAGTTAAGCTAAAGAAGAAAATGTGTCTTAATTCATAGATGGAGAGAGAGAGAGAGAGAGAGAGAGAGAGAGAGAGAGAGAGAGAACACTTTGCTCATGTTCTTCTAAATGTGATTGTAACTGCAGAATGGGTTGAGTTCACACCCTATGAAGTGGGGATACTAAAATATGGAGCTTTTGTCCGTGCTGAAGATTTTGGAAGTGAATTCTTTATGGGGCGTCTGATGAAGAGGATTCCAGAGACTCGGATCTGTTACCTGCAAGGTTCTTATTATTTTTGTTTAATAATGAAATAGCAATAATATAACCGATTTAGCAATCAAGTCCATGTAGTATGGGTAGTAACCAAGCTGTATGATCTGTCTAAAATCATATTGATGTACATGAGCATGTAGGGTATCTGAAACCCACACCAAAACTGTAATGAATTACCTTTTCTATGAATAGGTCAGTTTAAGGGCATAAATGCTAGCTGGAACATAAAAAGGGCCTGCTGGACGAGGCAGCCTGTTCCCACAGTGGCCAACCAGATGCCTGTGGAAAACCTGAAACCAGAACCTGAGCACAACTGCACTCTCCTCAATTGTGATTCCCAGAAACTAGAAATATCAATAAGCTACAACTGCAGCCCAAATTGTCACTCAACCAGTTCCAGTCATTGTTTAGTATTGGTAGAACTAGTCTAGACCATGTGAAACGAAAGGAAAACAGACTGTTATCTTTAATGTTAAGTTCAACAATCTTTGTACAATAGTTCAGGTACCTCTATACAATTGTACCCCAATTGTACGGCCTCGGTCCAGTATACCTGAAGGAGCGTCTCCACCCCCATCGCTCAGCCTGGACACTGAGGTCCAGCGCTGAGGGCCTTCTGGTGGTTCCCTCACTGCGAGAAGCAAAGCTGCAGGGAACCAGGCAGAGGGCCTTCTCGGCAGTGGCGCCCACCCTGTGGAACGCCCTCCCATCAGATGTCAAAGAGATAAACAACTACCTGACATTTAGAAGACAGCTGAAGGCATCCCTGTTTAGGGAAGTTTTTAATGTGTGACATTTTAAAGTATTTTTAATCTTTGTTGGAAGCTGCCCAGAGTGGCTGGGGAAACCCAGCCAGATGGGCGGGGTACAAATAAATTATTATTATTATTATTATTATTATTATTATTATTAATCCTTAGAACACTCAGGATGCTACACAGAGATTATCTCAGTAATTCAACAACGTTGTAGGGTGGGCCAATACTACTGTCCTCCTATGGGACTGGGAACTGAGGAACAGTGACTACCTAGTGAGTTCATAGGAGAATTGATATTAGAGCCAGGAGCTTTGTAATTCATAGCTCATATGTCACAAGCAGTGAGAGAGGGGCATTAGCTCACCATAGCACATGCATTTTTCTTGCTTCTGACTACTTCACTAAGATTGCTGTGCTGCCTTTAACTCTATTGACCTCATTAGACTGAAGCAGAAACTAGTTAGTAAGTTCTCCGCCACTGAAAACAGCAGCCGTGAATCTGCTCCTCTTTTTTGCCTTGTAGCCCAACAAGATATCGTCAGGTGAATTTCTCTATCCCTACCTAACTTCATTGGCTGGCATTTCTGGAGGCAGGGAAATTCACAATGCAATGATATCGCAGCAGAAAGAAGAGATGCAAGCCTCGTGCTTTTGATGGCTAGAGAATCTCCCATAGCTTCAGTCACTGAGTATTTGTGCATGACAGAGGCCTATACCAGGAGCTACTCTGGGTCACCACCCTGATGTCTGGCATTATTTGTTCAGTGTTAAAATAACTTTGCATATGTTATGTCAGGATCCCTTCCATTGTAACGAATGCTAAGGTAACGTAGATGAAGTAACAATGCTTATACCGGTAATCTGTGAAGGGATGCTACCAGTGAATTGTGTGGGTGTGTGGCTCTGATTCATAATCACAGTAGCGCTCACAGAGTCCCCTGATTAGTGGAAAGAAAGGCAAACATGCTTTGAGTTTACACACCCACACAACTGAAAGAATACACCCTGTACTTGCCTTAACCAACCCATTAAAGCAGAATGGGCAAGCAGCCACAAATAATCTGCTGACACAAGGTTGGGTACAGCAGAGGCAAATGGCAGCAGGGCAATTGATACATTGCCAGCACAATGCCAGGCATCAGAAGACTTGGGTGTCTCAAGACATGGAGCATGTGCAGCCGGTGGTAGCCTATTTAAGGCCAATGAGGCTGCGGGCAGGAAGGAGATGCCCAGAGTTGAGCAAGACTGCAGTACTGGAAGGGCGGAGGAGGAAGAAGTGCCTCCCCACCCTAGCCTGAGGTTACTACAGGGGTGGCTGTGTGATGCAAAGAGAAGACTGAGCCCAGTGCATAGAAGATACAGCACATATGGCAGAGTGTATGGAAGCCCTCCAGGACCCTTGGCAAATAGTTTGCAGCCCACAGTCAATCTCTTCTTCTGACCACATGGTGGGAGAGGATTCCTGCTGTGCCCCAGTCCTCTAGGGCAAGCCTGCGGAGAGTGGGGGGTAGCCAGGTGCACACTTGCCCCAGGTCTTGGGGGGCTAAGTTGGACAGAGGGCCCTGCCAGGGGCCTGCCAGACTGCCTGCTCTGGGGCATGAGTTACAATGGCACAAATGGAATTCCTAAAAGCAAGGACCGTTCTGCCTTCATCATCGTTTCTTAAGCATGCGTCTGTTTGAACATGGAGATTGCAAATGTGTGCTCTGATTAAACAGTGCAATTTACTGCAAAAATTAAATAGTGTTTTTTCAGTAGAATAATGCTAAATTGTTATCAATTATCCCTCACTGTACAGGCATGTGGAGTAGTATATTTTCCCTGAATTTGCTGTATTTCTGGAATGATTCTCAAACCCCAGAGGACTTCTGGCACAAGTGGACACAAGACCAAATAGCTGACATTGGTTAGTTATTTTCCTAAGTGGCCTTTGACCTATTGATGGTGTTCTAAACTGATCTGTGAGCAATGAACAAATATTTTGGAACTTTGTTGCCTGTATATTATTAATCTTGGCTCCTTGTAAGCACATTTGTCTAAATGTTTTCAGATTTGTCTAAATGTTTTCAGATTTGTCTAAATGTTTTCAGATTTGTCTAAATGTTTTCAGATTTAGTCATCCTTGTATTAGACAACTGAAGCTCTAAATTTGTGTGTGTGTGTGTGTGTGTTTAATGTTAAACGATGATTTTGAATGAGGGCTCAAAATGATTTTCTGCTTTTGCTGATTGAGCAGACACTTTCACAAAATATTTCTCTTTTGGAAAGGATTGTAGTTTGGAAAGGATTGTAGTTTCAGAAATTTATAAATTTTATAAATTCATCGTTGCTGCTTTTCCTTTGTAGATACAGAGCCTCATCTACCCACTCGACCACATGATCAAAAGACACATCTGTACACCCCTGCTGGACCGCTATCCAGTGCATTTAGAGATGTGCTTACTGATCGCCTATCAGTTGCCCAGTACCACAATTTTCTCAGAGGTCTCCAACTGGACAATGGCTACCTTGAGAATGACAGTTTCCGTAGATGGAAAGGTATTATCATTTGGGATATATATATTCTAATGTAAAAAACATGCTGCCTGAGCTCAGTCTGAAATTAGAATAAGCACACTGCTTGCCAAGGCTCCTCACTCAACATTCCACCCAAATGTCCAGTCCATGGGTATGTCGTGTTATTGTTTGTGCACATGCTAGATCATGCTATGGACTTGAATGCATTAGGTGGCAGTGGCTGTGTGCTAACTGAGCTTCAATGGGCCTTTGCCTAGTTACTGTGCCCCTCCTATGAGCCCCAGGCAGAGAGGTCAAGGGTCAAGGATGATGGGAGCTGTAGTCCAATGATATCTGGAGGGCACTACATTGGCTATTGTGTAACCCATTATATAGTGTTGATGCTTTGTTCCTAAATTCACTACATGAGGTGCTGTGCATTAAAGTGTATTTATACTTTTTCGGATTAATTAGCTGTGACCTTACGAACTGCTGTCCTTGTTTAATTGGTGTCTCCAAAGCACAGTAATGGCATAAATCATCTGATAATGAGATTCAGAGCTGGTTGCAGACATATATAATAGCATTGCATTGATAATAGCAAATAGAAATTATTCTATTTGGGATACTGCCAGGGAGACACAGTCCATCATAGCCCCCAAGCCGGCTGCCGGACGATCCATCGATCTCCCGTAGACACGCAGTATCAGCAATTAGCGACACGAAGCCTCAGAAATAGTATTCCACATTCTTAGGCTGGTGCACACTCTGTCAGCAGACTTCACACAGCAAAAGATGCACAGCAGGAGAGCATATTTACAAGTTTATTCAATGTTGGTCAGAACAAAGAAAAGACATGACCGCCTGCTTCAGCGAAAGCAACTGAAAATATAAACATCCTGTGAACAGGAAATACACAGACTCTGTGACTCACAAAGCCTGCTCCCTTTTAAGGTGGAACGGAAATATCCTAACACATTGGGTTATAGCTAGGGTTGCTACCTGTTTTGGGAGGGGCTTGCTCCCGTGCCTTTAATAGCAGCTCAGAAATTAAGAAGGTAATACCTTGACTCATTACTTATATCAGTTCCCAGAAAAGTTACATTTGTTGAATTTGTGCCACATACTTGATAGTGCTTCCTTTAAAGAAGAGCAGAGCTGTAATTATCATATAAGTATTCTAAAAAATAAATGAGATTCCCCACCACCACCACTCTTCTAGAAATGGATAGCCACTTTGCAGAATTTTCTCTGAATAGTCTCCATCTCCCTCCTACCCCAATGCTTTGGAATGATGCTAGGTCTAGGGCATTTTGTAGCATGCAAAATGGTGGCCAGGCTGCCATGCAATTGCTGCCACTGCTATCTACAGCAAGAGCAAAAAATCTTAGGAAAAAAGACAGAAGCTGTGCTATTGCAATTGCCAATGGTTAGCCCCCACACCCAAGAAACCATTGGAGGAGTTCTTTGCCCCAAAATAGGTGGAGAATTTTTAGGAGTCATTACTGGACAGCTCTAGTCTGGGGGCTGTCAGGGAACTGCCATCGGAGCCAGAGGGAGAGGGAGGGCTCCAGAGGGATTCCGAAGAGCGTCCCGGGAGGGAGAGAAGCAGCACATCTTCTGGGGAAGGAAATCAGCGTAACACCAGTGGAGAAGGGGGGCAGATGGGGGAATCGGCGAGGTGGCTCCAAGACTCCTCGCTGGGAACCAGTGGGGAGAGCACGGGTCCTCCGATGCCCACACCCTCCCTGCGCAGAAGGCTTCCACGCAGAGAAGCTAGGCGGAGACTAGGCGTCAAAGAGCTTCTTTGCTGGAAGAAGTTCAAGAAACGCCCACTAACGGATTCTGCCAGCGATTGAGACAGCCACGGACGCGTGGCTGTCCAGACAGAAAGGGTTCATTCAGGCAACCAGCCCAGGGTGGCGTTGATTTACACACAAGCAACCCCTAGAACCATTACAGGGGCCTGTGTTTATTAAAGCAAAGCCTAGTTCCACCCTTAGGCAAATAATTGAAACTTTAGACAATATTTGGAAAGCACTCAACATCTGAAACTGAAGAAGAGAAGTTGTAGGAGAAAATTTCCAAGTACGGCTCTTCTTTAAAGTTGAGCAGGAACAAAGAAAACTCCAGGTTGCAGAAGATTGCCTCTGTGGCAATGAAAACTCGAGCTTACTCTGTTCCACTTAAAACTGATTCTGTTTTGCCATTTAGGTACTATACTCGATGCTTCTTCACCCAATCAGCTGACTCAAACAGAAGAGTACTTGTCACTAGTAGATACTGGATTCTTCATCAATACAAGCGTTGCACCTATACTGAGAAAAGAGCGGAAGGCAGACATTATCATACATCTAAATTACAGTGCAGGATCACAGAAGTTGGTGAGAAATGCATCTTTCCCATTTCTGCCCATCTCTATAGATGATGAGTATCATAAATCATGGCTATAGCTAAGCACAGTCGTACTTGGATCCCGAATGCCTTGGCTCCCAAACAAATTGGCTCCTGAATGATTGAAACCTGGAAGTGAGTGTTCCAATTTTCAAATGATTTTCGGAAGCTGAATATCTGGCACAGCTTCCATGGCTTCTGATTGGCTGTAGGAGCCTCCTGCAGCCAATCAGAAGCTGCGCTTTGGTTTCCAAATGTTTTGGAAGTCAAACGGACTTCTGGAATGGATTCTTTTTTACTTCCAAGGTACGACTGTATATCACAGTCCAAGGGACCTGTATCCTTTCCCTCCAACTCCTATCTTCCTTCGGACATATCTAAGGCAAGTTTCAGTTGTGGGGGGAGGAGAGAGAAGAGGAAAAGTACTGGAAAGAGGAGGTCTAGAAAAGAAGGTAGGGAGGAAGCTGAGAGACAAGAGCAAGATTGATTCAGGAAACAAGCTGCAGGAGTAAGAAAAGACTAGGAGAAAGCCCTTGAATAAGTTGGAGGCTGGGGTTACTGTAAATGTCTCTGACTGTGAATCATCCTGCCCTGACATCTGAATTGCTATGATGTCACAGAATGTTCAGGAGAAACTACTAACACAGAGCCTAAGGACACAAGGAACACATTATTGCTCGTAGGACAGGCTGTGCAGAGACAAGATGAAATAATTTCCCCTGATCCCTCACCTACATATGAGTGCTTTGTGTTACCTCTTAGTAGCTAGTATTTCCCCGGGGAGTTTCAAAGAGAGTTCTGGTAGGTGTCTGCTCTTGGAAGGAAATCATACACAGAAATGAGGAGTACTGAATTTTAAATAAGCCTTTCCACATTTAGCATATTATTGTATTACTAACCACCCAGAGTGGCTGGAGTGACCCAGTCAGATGGGTGGAGTATAAGTAATAATAGTTATTACTACTACTACTTTTTTCCACCTAGCCCCTGGAACAGTCATGCAAGTACTGTGCAGAACAAGGAATCCCATTTCCCAAAGCTGTGATACATGAAGATGACAAACACTTGAAGGAATGCTATTTGTTTGACAATGCAGAGAATCCAGAAGCACCAATATTAGTATTTTTTCCACAAGTGAATGATAGCTTTCGTTACTACAAAGCACCCGGTATGCCATTATTATTATTATTATTATTATTATTATTATTATTATTATTATTATTATTATTATTTGTACATTATACTTATAAAGTTCTGTATTTAGTGGTTTATTATCTACATGTTTACAGATGAGGAGAAAGAGGATAACAGAGGAAAGGGAGACACACAGAAAACCCATTTCCCCCACACATTTTGGAAGCAAATAAATTCCTCTAAAAACCACTAGAGTCAAGCGTCTGTCCTCAGAAATCACAAAATCTGCAAATTTGGACTCAGTTATATATCTTATGAGGACCCACTATTGTGCATCTTCTTTAGCACAGCTAAGGAAGTCTAGCTTCAAAGGAAGTACCTCCAGTGCCAGCCTTACCATGGGAAGTCTAGCTGACATTGACTGAGCTTAAACTGGCCTTGTGAAATTGAATGGACCTACCTCCTAAAAGCTAATCCTTCCCACCATTGTTCTCTAAGACCTTCCTGTTAGGTCGGGCCTTTGGAAACTAAGGTGCAGACGATGCTGATCATTGGGCTTCTGTCAGGGCAAATTATATTTAAAATGCTAGCTTTAGATATGTTGTGATGTATTTTAATTATCATTTTTAACTAGTTTGTTGTTTTAATTATTCTGTATTTTATAATGGATGTTTCTAAAATGTTGTAAGCCACCTTGATTGAATCCCAGCTCGGGAGAAAAGTGCGCTAGAAATACATTGAATAAATAAATAAGTTAAATCTGTATTCATGAGGCAGTTTGATAGTCAGATGGTTGGCACTGGCAGGTGGCAGAGTTTGCTCATCATCAGGTAGTGGTGGCTGGTCAGCCACCAGCACACTAATAATTCTCAGGCACCTTGTTCAACAACTCTGCATTTGTAATGCTCATAAACTTGGCTCATGGAACCCCTTAACCTCCTCGGTTCCTCATTAGACTGATCTATTCCTGAAAATGCCTTGATTATCTCCTTGGATCAGAGGTGTGAGGCATGCTGTTTCATCAAGATCTCAATGTCTTTCATCTTTTTTTTGTTTTGTTTTTGGTTGAATAAAACTGTTCTCTTAACACTATAGCAGAGTTGTAAATGGAACCTACTCTTCTTCAAGGTTGTCAGTAATGGCCAAAGTAGTCGTTTCACAAAATGCACAGTGTGCAACTAATTCTGGTTTCTTTCCTTCTTTATTTAATGAACTACAGGCACAGGGCCCCAGATTGTCATCAAATCATCAGTTCCTTTTTCAGCCACTATCCACAACCTTCCCCCACCTCCAGGGATGTCTATAAGACTTTGGGGGAAAGCTCCCATTTTTATCCTAAGCTTCATAGCCATGCCAAGGAGGACTTTGGTCCAGAGCATACCTGGAGATGGAAGGAATACACCTCTTCTCCCTGTGCGCTGTGGTCCTGATGACAATTCAAGATAAAGATATATAGAGATAGATAGATGATAGATAGATAGATAGATAGATGATAGATAGATAGATGATAGATGATAGATGATAGATATAAGTAGAGGGGGGGAAAGAGATAATTGCTTGCTACTCACTGCAGAAAGGGTGGTGCTGTGGGTAAAACCTCAGTGCCTAGGACTTGCCGATCGTATGGTCAGCGGTTCGAATCCCCGTGGCGGGGTGAGCTCCCGTCTTTCGGTCCCAGCTCCTGCCCACCTAGCAGTTCGAAAGCACCCCTAAGTGCAAGTAGATAAATAGGTACCGCTTTATAGCGGGAAGGTAAACGGCGTTTCTGTGTGCTGCGCTGGTGCTGGCTCGCCAGAGCAGCTTCGTCACGCTGGCCACGTGACCCGGAAGTGTCTGCGGACAGCGCTGGCTCCCGGCCTCTTAAGTGAGATGAGTGCACAACCCTAGAGTCGGACACGACTGGCCCGTACGGGCAGGGGTACCTTTACCACTGCAGAAAAACCCCTTGTACAATATATGAAGGGTCTTAATTTCCTAGCATTGATGTATCAAGCCTCAATAACAGTACCACTAGCATACAATCCAAGAAGTTCAGTTTTTAAGCAGCAGCAGCAGCAGCAGCAGCAGCAGTAGTAGAAGAATTTATATACCACCCTATACCCGGATGCCTCAGGGCAGTTCACAGAGAAGAAAACATGTCTTCAGTCAAACAGAACAATTTCCACAGGACATCTGTGTGCCTTAGCAGCTGTTGAATATGCATGTATGAACTTAATTTTGGTAAATCCCATTCTTACAGCACTACCTTACTGCAATTTTTTCATAGGTGTTAAACGCTCTCCATCAGAAATGAAAGAAGGCAAAGTCGATGTCTCCAGTAAGTGCACCCCTTACTCTACCTACTCCCTGACATTCACTGAGGAAGAGTACGATCAACTAGTGAAACTGAGTGAATACAATATTCTGAATAACCAACGTATGATCCTGGAAGCTTTGCATCTGGCAGTGGAACAGAGAAAAAAACTGAAGAAATGCACGAAATGAGATGCTGGAATATGGACCCAAGCTCTCTGAGCGCTCGTAAACCTCACTGAACTTTGGTTTGGACCAAGGGGCCCTACGGGATAAGCCAAGCAATTCAGGATGTCAACAAAAGTTATCTTTTCCCAAGACTGCTTGTGCTTTTTTGAGTGACTGAGATTCTAAATCAGCATGTCACTTATTTGAAAACTCAGCATCAGCTGTGCTGATTCTCCCAAGTTGGTTGCTGTGAATCTATCTGTACTTAGCAGGATTAAGGATTATTGTGTTCGTATCCTGTCCATGGACTTCCCATGGACATCTGGTTAGCCAAGATGAGAACAGGGTGGCAGACTTGGATAGACTTTGGCTCTGATCCAGCAGGGCTACTATTATGTTTTTATCTCAGGAACAAACCAATTGTCATGCAAAACTTATAATATAGCTCCTGATCCCTTATGTAACAGGTATCATCTCTTACATTTCAATTCTGGGTTTGCATTTACTACTGGACAGGGGAGGTGCTGACATTTGAAAGCAACCTTCAGTGATCTCCCAGCACATCCTTGTGTTTGTTTACTCCAGCGTAGGAGCTTATCCACACTTCCACTTGTGCCATACCAAGAAAGCAGACTGGAACTGTCTGTGTGCATGCTGAGACTCTCAGCTTCTAATCCTGTCCTGGAGGGCCCTCCTTCTCCTGAGGTCCCTTGATGACTCAAGTCTCCTGTTTCTAGCTGCTCCCAGCTCATCCCTTCTGCTGACTGCTCCTCAGTGTCCCACCACCAGGCTCAAGACTCTAAGGTATCATCTTTGGAGCCTTCCTAGGGGGCTTTTGGGAGGCAGGATCCCACCACTCCTCCTCATCCAGCCTGTCCTTGACAACTGCTATAGATGTGGAGTTTATTTAACCTGCCTATTCTGAGATAGACCAATAACAAAAGGAATTGGGTGCCAATGTGGGGCTGCAGCTGCTTTGTAGGAGGCTTTTAAGTGGCAGATTCCGACTGTGCCACATGAAAAGCAGTGTTTTGCATGGGAATGCACAGTGCTTGGCACCATTAGAGTTGCCACCTATCCTGTATAATACAGGATTTTTTCTGTATTTCAATGTAAAATGCTGTGTCCTGCATTGATACAGTTTTGTCCTGTATTTCAGGTCTTCTCTGTGTGTGTGTGTGTTTCTGTTTCTGTCTCTGTCTCTCTCTGCCAAGTTAGGGATCCTCTCCAAATACATGTGCTTGAATAGGTGTGGGAAAGGACATGCATTTAACCTCTGGGTAGCCAAGCACAGAAAGATTTACAAATTCGTGTGTGTGTGCACGTGCGTGCATGCATGCATGCGTTTGTGTTAAATTCCAGAGGGGTCATCCACTTAGGCTGCAATAGATTGTAATGGATTGCTTTTGAGTCACTTCAGCACCAGGTGTGGGGGGGGGATCACTCCCAACCGCCCCACCTTCCCTATCCTGTATTTTGCCAGAACAAAGGTGGCAATCTTACAAAACTAATTTGTTTGTAATGTTGGAACATCCTGTGAATTCTGGTAATGATTTAGGAACGTTGGAACATCCTGTGAATTCTGGTAATGATTTAGAAACACATAACTGAAATGGAAGGCTTGGCACTGTACACACGATTCTGTATCTATAAGTAGCAAATGGCATTTCCAAAGTCAACGCGACTAGATTATTTTAATACTTAATTTATTGACAGCAGCCTGAACTCAGCAGTGTGGCTTGTGCTTCTGCTGCTGCTCTGTTTGGCTTTTGTGGTTAATTCATCAATATTAAAGAAAACACGCTTGTTGGCTCAAGTTACTATTTGTAAGATTAGAAAAATAAAACCTGTTGGTTCAGTTTGGTAATAATGATGAACGCAATGGAGTGTATCTAGTTTCTGACTTGAGAAATGCTCTTCCTGCTTTTGGGCTTCTCATGAACATCTGGGAAAACAGGATGCTAAGCTAAATGGGCCACTGGCCTGAATCAAGAGGGATTTTCTTATGTTCCTATGAGTAGTACATTTCTAGTAGCTTTCAGAGTAACAGTAACAGAGCAACCTGAAAGCTGACTCAGTACTCTGAGTATCACATAAATACTGCCAAATAAAATGGAAGTCAATAAAATCTCTTGGATGCAGCCATGTTTCCAATTAAGAATGCTTAATTATTCTCAGGACGACATGTCCTGTTGTGCAACAGAATCATGCTTCTGTCTCATGTTCATCCATCAGTATCACCTCAGTCTTTCTACCCAGCACAAATGTCTACTCAATCGCTCAACTTTTCCTAATTAAATTTGGCAGATGTCCATCACCCACTATCTGCTAATTAAATCTGGTGGACGCATTTCTTCTTCGATTTTGAAAAGACTATTAGCCCTGAACCCAGCAATGCATATGATTGCTTCTACAAAGATTACGTTGGAGTAGGGTTGCCATGTGTCTGAGAAATCCCAGACATGCCCTCATGTCCTCTTTTGAGGGGCCAACATGCCCATCAGGGTTTTTGTTTACATTTTAAAGGCAATGTCCTGGTTTGGGGTCTTTTTATTTCGGAGGGGGGGTTGGCTCAGGTGTGAGCAGATTGGGCTTGGGCTGCTCTACACGCCGTGGCCGGACCGAGCTGGGGAAAGAGTCACACAGGCGTGACAGCAGTCCCACACGCCTCTTTTCCCTGCTTGGACGGGCATTGGCTCAGGCGATTCCTAAGACTTACATCCAACGGGATGACCCCCGTAGGGACTGCCATCTGGGGGAGGAACAAACAGGCTGAGCTCTAGGTGCTGGCTGCTTAAATGGGCAAGGGGCAGATCCGAGAGACGCCCACAATCAGCTCCATTGGCTCCGCCCCCAGCACAGCCCAAGTCCCAGCCTGCATCCCCATTTGCCAAAGCAGGGTTCAGGCTAGGATCCAATTCCTGATAGGCAGAGAGGGCTCATGCCCCCTCCCCTATCAGGAAGGGCACAGCCTCCTCCACTCGCAAAGAGTGAGTGGGCTTGTGCAAACTTCTGAGGGCTGCATCCTGCAAGTGGTTGGTGGGCAACAGTGTTTGGTGGGTGGAGCAACAGCACATTTTTGACCTTGACTCTCCCACCACTTGGGAGGACAATAGCTCAAGGGTACAGCATCTACTTTGCATGCAGAAAGTCCCAGGTTCAATTGCCGGCTTCTCCAGGTAGTGCTGGGAGAGGCTTGTGTCTGAAACTTCCAGTCAGTGTAGGCAACAGTGGTCTGATTTTGTATAAGGGAGCTTCCTATGAGTCTACAATAAGGGACATTGCAGCCACAGGAAAGCCATCTGCACACACTCTCCATCCTCCATCCAGGCAAGAGGCATCATCAAAGTTCAAGGACCTGTTTCAGCCTCAAGGAGGCTGCAGATGTGGACCAGAGAGGTATGGCCCAGAGAAAGGACTATTGTGAAGAACTGATGCTCCCTTTGGAAATAACTGGTGTTTCCCATTTAATTGTCTTTGTAGCCAATTAATCTATATTTCAGGAAAGGAATGCTATTGTTGCATGCCACCCCAATCTCCCAGCAGTGTGAGATTCTAGGGGTTCCAGGCACTCACTCAGGGTTCGCGTATCCTTTTGGAAGTGAAGCACAGTGGAGACTGTGGTGTCTTTATGATATATGGTTTATTTACACATATATACAACCTGAGCCTAGGATGGAGGGATACACAGGATTTACACCCCAATAAGGTCTTGTTTCTCCCATATCCACAGCCTTGGATATCAGCAGAAATCAGCCATGGCTCTTACCATCTCTCCAGCTTGCCACCTTTACCACACTACAACCTTGGTGGAATCTAGACACATTAAAAAAAAAGTTATGAAAATGCTTTATAAAAAAATGTTTTGAAAAATGTATTGAATTTGCCATAGCTCACCATCACCATCTGGTGTCAAATTTGTATAAGGCACTTTACAATACAAAACGTTTTATTTGTAGCTGTATAGCTGAGTCCCTTTTTCCTCCAGGTCACATCCCAGCCAACTCTAAACCCCTGCTTTAACTCTAAGCTGGAGGAGTGGCCCCATCCAGAGACGCCTCCCTTTAGCTTCATTGACAGGCCATCACCTTCCCTTTTGTTTTCTTAATGGCTCATCATCCAATGTGATTACCTCATGAGGAAGCTAGCCTGACTAATTTAGCTTTCAGAATTTGATTAAGTGTCTGGCACCCACAAACTCATAATAACATCAATGATTATTTTACTTTAGACTGTTGTCCAGTAATTCTGGCAGCTGCTGTAGCCATCATATGATTCTAGCCACAGCTTGCACGTGTTGAAAAAACTTAAGATTGCTGTTCCTTGAAGTCGGTGATAACATTCCATGCACAAAATTGCATGTTGTTGTGTTTATGTGGGATTACACAGCCCACAGTGGGTGGAGTGGGTTACAAATAATGCAATAATGTCAAAGGGAACTACAGCAACTGAAATACAGAATCCATTATCATATGGATCTCTTACATTCACTTTGCTGCAGTAATACATGTACACATCATGTTGATGCAATGATATGGAAGGCTTCGGAGAGACATAACTTGTTAAGAAGCCTATTTGTGGCGCAGCAGAGGTTTTGGCCCTGATAAAACACAAGAGCTACCCATCACAGCTGAGAAATTGAGGTCAAGAAAAAAGCCCAAACTCAAATGAACATTTAGATTTATATTCAGAAAACTAATAGAATTTGCTAAAAGGTAGCATGACTCTCTTAGAGCTACATCTCTGGTGAGAACATGAATGCAGCTCGCAAACTCATGCAGACCAGTGTGACTGGTGAGTATTTGGTGACCTTTATATTTTGCATTTATTTATTTATTTATTTATTTATTTGATTGACTGTATTTACTGTGCTTTCATTGTCCTTTCCTTGTGTATTCATATGCTGTTTGCCTCTGGGCTGAAAAAAAGTATATAAATAAACCATAACATCACATCATCACGTCTAACTGCTGTGTCTACCTGGTCCCTTGATTTTGTCACTGGTGTGTTCTATTTGTTTTTTGGGACAAACCAAGTGACAATGCAAATGCCAGTTTATTGCTTTCAATACTCCTTCTACATCAGTCCCTCCTCTTTCCCCTTTGATGCGCCTTTTTCTTTCTGTTGAGAATGCTGGGGATATTAGTCACGACAATTTCTTCTGCAGCAGAAACTTCACAGGGACAAATTTGCCCACACACGCATAGGAATAAACCAGCAGCTATCTGCAGAAGAAAATGTGATCTTTTCACTCCCTATGTTAGTAAAGTGGTATGTTTAAGATGCTTCAGAGACTCAGGGAACACAGGGAAACGTTCAAGGAAGAGCATACCTTTATTCAAACAACTTTACCATTGACAAGTATTCATTGTGTTATGACATCCTGAGATGCCTTGGGTAGGGAATGCCCCCCAAAGGCGCCACTTCCATGTTTTGCAAAAACAAATAAATGGAGAATCTTTCATTGTTTTCTACTAGGTCTAGCTTGGTTGGAGAGGAGAGGAGTGTGGCTTACATTATAACTGCTTTGAATTATGGTGTACTGGATATCCTCTGTGCTGGGGGTGAAGATGGGGAAGAGAAAGAGAGGAGAGGATAAAAGCTAGTTTAAAAGCTAGTTAGATTAATGCACCTCTCATATTGTCCCAGAACAAGTTTGCGCTGCCCATAGGTTGCTTTTGTGCAGGTCACTTCTCCACACGGGAAAATTTTCGGCAGCAGAGCAGTGTAGATTTGAGCCATTGGCTGAGCAAAGCTGGGCATGTGGGTGGTTGAAAGGAAGCTACTGACCCAACAGTTGCTTCCTGTCAGCCTGGGACCTAAAGTATACTGTGATGTGGTGCTTGTCCTCCAAGTCCCACTCCAGAATCCTTTCAGAAAGGGGTAGAAGGACATCAGGCGCAGCTTTATGGTGGTTCCTTTTTAGAAATGGGCAAATCCATCCATTTCAGTTTCTCATTTTTCCAACCTTAAGTTCACTTTGCCACATATCTGCATCAGTTTGTGGATTTTTTTTTGATATTTTTTTAAAAGGTGCAGGAAAATTCATATGAATTTTGGGACATGTTTCCCTTAATAGAGTAAGCTTGCTACCTAAGCACATTTAACTTGCGCACATTCAGAACAAAATTGGGGGGAAATTGAAAAGGGGCAGAAAGACATGATGGCACCCAAGTGTTCAGGACTACAGCTCCCATCAGTTCACAGCTGATGGTCAGAGATTGTGGGAGTTGTATGGAAAACAGCTGGTGGTCATGGCATTGGCTAGTCTTGGTCTAAGTAGTTGCCTGTGGGGAAGAAATTAGACTCAGAGAATCTTCTTCTTCTTCTTTGGCAATCACTCATAGCCGAGTAAGAATTGTCTTCCATGAACAGGATCTTATCAGTGAGTCCGTAAGTGACTGCGGAGGCCAATTCTGGATCCACACGTCCTTCCACAGTGGGGACATCGGTTTCTGGGCAGGAGTTGATCACGGTGTGTGTTTGCCAAGCGTGCCTCCCTCTTATCTTGTTTCTCCTTTTTGCCCTGAGTTTGTGCTTCTTCAAAGTCCATGACACCTTTGGTAAAGGCCATTCTCCAACTGGAGCACTTGCAGGCCAGTGTTTCCGAGTTTTAAGTGTTTATGTTACATTTTTTTAGATTTGCCTTGAGAGAGTCCTTAAACCTCTTTTGTTGTCCACTGGTATTTTGCTTTCCATTCTTGATTTGGGAATAGAGTATTTGCTTTGGAAAATGATAATCAGGCATCCAAACAACATGGCCAGTCCAACGAAGCTGATGTTGAAGAATCATTGCTTCGACACTGATGATCTTTGACACAGACATCATTGCTTCAACACCGGATAGGCTTTGGGAAGATGACAGGATGGATCTTGGACCCATTGGATCCTCGCATGTCCCTCCCTAAGCCGGGCAGAAGCTTCCCGAGATTTTTGAAGGAGATACCAGGGGAACATTTAGGGGACTAGCCTAGTCCCCTTAATCCAATGATCACACACCACTGGCTTCCATGATGCTTTAAATTTATATTTTTGTCGAAAGAGTGTGTTGGTAATAACAAGGCGGTCGGAGAATA